TTTGCAAATATATAATAACCTCTAATCTAGATTGTTAAAATATTCTAAAGTTTTTTATTGAGTGGACTTTCCTCTAAAAGTACATAGGACAGGTTGCCTATTGGAGCTATTAGGAAAAAGTTATTGTTGCATGGAAACAGGAAAAGATTTTGTGTGTGAGCTATTAGGTCTGTCAATGCAAGAAAGTATTAGTTTGAATAACTGTGAATAAAAAACTAAATAGAAATTGTACTGTTATTTATATAAAACATAGAGTATAGAATGCAGCATTTCAGACATAATCCTGATTTAGGGTATTTTGGAGGCAAAATTAAAGGCAGTTTTATTTCTCTTTCACTGCTTTACTCATAGTTGATACTTGATAAATATTTGTAGATTAATTTGGTAACGGACAAACCTGACTGCATTTAAAGAGATGATTTCCACCTCCCAATAGCACTATTAACCAACATTACTGAGAAATCTTTTTTTTTTTAATTTCAAAATATTATGGGGGTACAAACATTTTGGTTACATAAATTGCTTTTGTACCATTTGAGTCAAAGTTATACGTGTGCCCATCCCCCAGATAGTGTGTGTGGTAGCCGATAGGTGTGAATTTACCCGTCTCCTCCCCACTGAGAAATCTTACAGAAAACAAAGACAATTTCCTTAAGAGTGCTTTTAGAAAATCATTCAGTCATACTTCGTTTTGATTGTTTTCTGTAACTACTCCTTTTTTTAATTGACAAATAATGTGTATATTATAATTTATGGGGGTACAGTGTGATATTCTGATATGTGTTTACATTGTAGAATGATTGAGTCAAACCAATTAATAGATCTGTCACCTCACATTTTTATATATTCACCTTTCTGTGCAATAGATCACTAAAATTTGTTCCTCATGTCTAAGTGAAATTTTCTACTTTTTGATCAACATCTTCTCTTTCCCCATACATCCCCCTCCCCCACCCTCTGGTAACCACCATTCTACTCTCTCCGTCTATGACTTTGGCTTTTTTAGATTCCACGTATAAGTGAGATCATATGATACTCACCTTTCTGTGCCTGGCTTAGTTCACTTAGTACAATGTCCTCCAGGTTCATCCATGTTGTTAGAAGTGACGGGATTTCCTTCTTTTTTAAGGCTGAATAGTATTCCATTGTTGAATACACCACATTTTCTTTATCCATTCATCTGATGCTAGAACCTGGGTTGCTTCCATATCCATATTGTGAATAATGCTGTGATGAACATGGCAATGCAGGTATCATTTTGTCATACTGATTTCAATCCCTTTGGATATGTATCCAGAATTGGGCTCGCTGGATCCTATGATAATTCTATTTTAGTTTTCTGAGGAGCCTCCATACTGTTTCCCATAATGCTGTACTAAGTTATGATAGTACCAACAATACATGGTGCACAAGGGTTCTCTTTCTCCACATCCTTGCCAACACTTACTATCATTCGTCTTTTTGGTGATAGCAAGTATGAGGTAATATCTCATTGTGTTTTAATTTGCTTTTCCCCAATGATTAGTGATGGTGAACACTTTTTCATATATCTTTTGCCTACCTGTATATCTTCTTTCAAGAAATGTGTATTTAGGTCCTTTGGTAAGTACTCTCATGTTTAGGGTTAGATTTATATAGAACTTGACCGCTAGATGCAGTGGGTCACGCCTGTAATCCTAACACTCTGGGAGTCTGAGGCTGGAGGATCACTTGCAGTCAGGAGTTCAAGACCAGCCTGAGCAAGAGCAAGACCCTGTCTCTATGAAAAAGAGAAAAAAATTAGCTGGTATGGTGGTGTACACCTGTAGACCCAGCTACTGGGGAGGCTGAGGCAGGAGGATGGCTTGAGCCCAGGAGTTTGAGGTTGCAGTGAGCCGTGATGACACCACTGCACTCTACCTGGGGCGACAGAGCAAGACTCTGTCTCAAAAAAAAAACAAAAAAAAAACACCATCATATAGAACTTGAGACAGAGAAGGTGAAAAGAATGAGTGAGAAAAGTACTTATTTTTTAAAAATGAAACTACTTTTTGTCCAAACTTATAAATATTAGAACAATGATTAATTTTTAAATAATCCTCACAGTATTTTGTTTTAAAATAGATATTTTGAACTCTATGACTTTTTTTTCTTCCCCCTCCTTCCCCCCCCACCCCCCGCAACACACACACACATCCCCGAAGGCAAAAGGCTTGGTACTTTTATGCAGTAACGTTCCCATCTTACTGATTCATGGACCCCCCGAGGTTTTGACAGAGATTTCAGGTGATCAGTCGATCCCACTGGCGTTCTGAAAACACCAGTACTGCACTTGGGTCGATCACTGATCCAGGGAAAGACACAGAGGCTGAATCCTGTTGCAGAGAGAGCAGCTTTCAGACAGAACTTCCAGAATAGCAGAGGAAGGACAAGTTCTTTCCCTTTTTGAGAGCAGCAAGAACACTGGGGAAAATTGTCAGAATCAACGTTTCCTAACTCTAGAAATTAAACAAAGACTTATAACAATCCAAGGAGCATTTGCTGAAGCAAAACATCTGGTATTTCAGAAAGAACAGCAAGTTTTGTACCATTTTAATTGTCCCCTCACCAGCTCTGCAGTAGCTATGGAAATCAGCAGCCCAGGAGCCACCTGTTTCAGAGAATACAACAGATTTAGAGACCAAAAAATGTCCTAGTCACAGAGAATTGGCACTATTTAGCCAGCCTTACAGCTCCCTAGAAAATCCCTATTCATTGTTTTTGTCTCTCTTAGACCTGGCACAGAGCTCACTAGTGAGCAGTATCCAAGGACATTTGTCAAACAATCGGCAGCAATTGTTTAACATCACAGCTGCCTGATGCAGCAGCACCAGCTGGGGGCACAAAAGAGCCTGGCTGAGTAAGGGAAGATTTGGAATGAGACATCCATAGGGGGTTCTGGAAAGTTCTAACATATTCCTGGGAATCTTGAAGGTCATGCGTATCCTGTGAACGTGCCCAGGAAAGCCCCAAGGAGAAGATCTTCAAATAATATATACTAAGTGTTCGCCTCTGGCTCACCTTCCAGTGCACAAGCAGGAAGTGACAGCTAATGCAGAGTTCAAAACTGCCGGCCGAGTGTTGAAGGAGGGCATGTCCCAACAGGCACGCAGAGCCCCTCAGCAAAGGCTGCAAGACTTACTGCTTTGGGTGTTTCAGAAAATTTCTGTTTCATCATTAGCTGACCACTAAGCTAACTGAGCAGAGACTTCAGTGATTGCATTCTACAAATAATACGGACTTCACAGGACTAGTCCAGGAATGTCACTAAACAGATAGCAACAACAGAAAAAACAACAAACCTCGGAGGAGGGTGCCTCAGAGACCTGTGGGACACCATCAAGCATACCAACATACGCATCACGCATCATGGGAGTTCCAGGAGGGGTGGAGTGAGAGAAAGGGGCAGAAAGAATATTTGAAGAAATAATGGCCAACGGCTGCTCAAATTGATGAAATTAAGAAACCAATTCTATTTACAATTGGGTCAAAACAAATAAGATACTTAAGAATAAATTTAACTTTTATACTTCAAAAGACATCAAGAAAGTAAACTCACAGAATAGGAGAACACATATCTAAATTATATCTAATAAGGGACTTTATTCAGAATATAGTAATATAAAGAACTCTTATAAATCAATAATAAGACACCCCAATTTGAAAATGGGCAAAAGATTTGAATAGATACTCTTCAAAGAAGATACACTAATGGCCAATAAGCACATGAAAAGATGGTCAACATGAGGAAAATGCAAATTAAAACCATAATGAGATACCACTTCACACCCACTGGGATGGCTAGAATAAAAAGGACAGACAGTATTTGTGTTGTAAGGATGTGGAGAAATTGTAACTTTTATACATTGTTGGTGGAATTGTAAAATACGGCCGCCTCTTTGCAAACTGTCTGACAACTCCTCAAAATGTTACACAGAGTTATAATAACGTATATCCCTGCAGTCCCACTCCTAGGTATTTATCTAGGGGAAGTGAAAACATGGTCACACAAAAACTTGTACGGGAATGTTCATAGCAGCAGCATTCACAATAGCCACAGTGTGGGAAAAACCCAAATGTCAGTCAACTGGCAAATGGATAAATAAAATGTACGTCCATATAGTGGATTATTGTTCAGCCATAAGAGGAATGAAATGCTGATTCCCATTATAGCATGGGTGAACCTTGAAACATTATGTTTAGCTAAGGAGCCAGACATAAGAGGCCACATGTTGTATGATTCCATTTTTATTAAATGTCCAGAATAGGCAGAACAGATCAGTGGTTATTGGGGGTCAGGAGTGGGGGATGGATGGTGTGGCTGCTAATGGGCTCAGGGCTGCTTTGGGGAGTGATGTAAATGTTCTATAATTAGCTAGTGGTAATGGTTGTACGATTCCTGGAATATATTAAAAACTGCCAAATGATACACTTCCAAGGTGAATTTAATGGTATCGTGATTATGTCTAAGTAAAGCTGTTAACAAAACATGAAACCCATTGTTTTCAGTAAGCTTTTGGTAGGCGGTGGGGGGCAGGATTAAGGTAAAGGTTTCAGCAATGTGAATGTAATGAACTAAACTTGAAATATAGATGGAAAGCATGGATTCTTCTAAGCAGTTTTAAAAATTAAGATCAAACAACAAGGTGCAAAGCACTGTCCTAAGTGCTATGTTTGGGAGATTAAAAAACATTTTACAACAATACATTCTGCCTCTAAGAAGCATTCAACCTGAGGAAGAGGACATACTCTTACAAAGCAAAATTTAAAACAGGTGGGACCTGTGCTGTGGGACAGAAGGTGAATCTAGCCAGGATTTAGAGAAGGGGGAGACATTCCCGTGGCTGTGGGAAGCTGGGGGTGGGGTTTGGATAGGCTTAGCATTGTGCCAGGGCCTTCTGGGTAAGGAGATGGCAACATATCTGGAGTTTAAGGGTAGTAAACCAGACAGACTTGTAAGGGATGTGATTCAAAATGTATTTATGAGCCCAAAGAGATCATCAGAACTGTTTCAAGCATGTTGGTGGAAGGCAGGGAGTGGGGTGGTTCTGACCTTAGGCACTGGTAGACAAAGAGCCAGGCATAGTTGGTGCCAAAGGAATGGAAAATAGGAAGAATAGTTTTCGTGACTGTCCATAGAAAGGTTTTGTGTCTATGCCGTTGTTCTTCCAACCTCCTATCTTACAGCAGCCACGAGCTGAGGTTTTAAAATGGAGGAGGGATCAGAAGGAGAGCAGTGTTTAGGGTAAAGAATAAATGAAATGTGGAATCTCAGTTATCTGTATACATTAGAGCGCTTCCTTTGGTCATTGCTTCGTAAGATCTTTACAGTAATCAGATTCCTGACTGACTCTGGTGTGTCTTTCTCGTTTGTCCTTTAATATGATGCTGACTGTGGAATCTCGTATGCGGGTCCCATTAGGCAGCCCAGCAAATCATTGAACTTCAGGAAGCCGCACAAATAAATGCAGGTTTACAGCCGACCAACCTGGGGAGGACCAACAGCCTCCACGACATGAAGACCGTGGTGAAGACCTGGAGGAACAGGCTGCCCATCGTGTCTGACGACTTGTCCCACTGGAGCAGCATCTTCATGTGGCGGCAGCATCATTACCAGGGTAAACCGACCTGGTCCGGCATGCATTCATCATGTAATTTTCCAGACGCCCCACTGTTCTGGTTTCATGTCTTTGTTTCGTTTTTTTTTTTTTTCCCCAGATGTTCTGTTTTGGGGTGGGTATGACAGGTTGGGGGAAATGGGGAAGGGAAAGATGAAGGTGGTGGAAGATAGGAAGTTGTTTTTCCTACCTGTTACATTTTGCTAGTTAGAACAGAATTGCTTCTAGACACTGCCTGTTGCATCGAGGCACAGCTCCTGCCCCAGGAAGAGCTGTGCTCAGGTGTCTCTGTGTAGCCTTTTCTGGTTTCCTGGTCCCCTGCTTACCCCCTAAACGTGTTTAGGACAGGCTTTGTGATTTCATGATTTAGTCAGCCAAGATGGGAACGCTCAATGCAAGAGTTAGTGCCTTTTATAACTTACTCGTGACATAAAATACAAAGAAGAGTGACAAAGGTTTATCACAGAGCTTCCCGTTTTCATAAGCCATGTGTGTGTGTTTTTCATTTTTTAATTTAAGCCTTGTTATGGAGCACTTTGAAAAATGTTCGATGTGGGCTGATAATTCATTTCTTTGCTCTCTAGCTATTGTAACTGCATATGAAAATAGTTCTCAGCATGATCCAAGTTCAAATAACGCTATGCTTGGGGTTCACGCGTCGGCTTCAGCCATCATCCAGTATGGAAAAATTGCCCGAAAACAAGGACTAGTCAACGTAGCTCTGGATATATTAAGTCGTATTCATACTATTCCAACCGTTCCTATTGTGGATTGCTTCCAAAAGATCCGACAGCAAGTTAAGTGCTACCTCCAGCTGGCAGGAGTCATGGGCAAAAACGAATGCATGCAGGTAGGTGCCACACAGCCTCAGCAGTGGGAAACCATCCTTCCAGAACATGGAAGGGAAAAGAAACCACTTGAGTGAATTACATTTTATGGTCTCTGTTCTACCGTGTACTTAGTTGATGTGTTTAAGGAAAGAAAAAAACAATAGAATTATGAGGGCATAAGGTAGATTTTGGCTAAGTTCAGAGGAATATTAATAAAATCAGTGAAACTCACTAAACATATAAAGCTTTGGAGAAAATAATACCCTTAAGTGTTTAGGATTAAATTTAGCAGTTAGTAATACAGTTTAAATACTGACTGTCAATCAACAAATATTCATCGTAGGCAAGTCTATTGTCAGTTTAAAGTGTACTTGTCAATGACTTATAGGACTTACTACCTAGATAAATACTTTTATGAAGCTTTTATGTCATTGTCTAGAAATTTCAAGAACTTTTTTTCCACTTTCTTTTTTTTAAACAGGGCCTTGAAGTTATTGAATCTACAAACCTAAAATACTTCACAAAAGAGATGACTGCTGAATTTTATGCACTGAAGGGAATGTTCTTGGCTCAGATCAACAAGTATGTAATATTGAAAAAGGATGATGAAAAAACCTAATATTATTTAAATGGTTTTTTATAATTTGAAGGCAACATGAAGCTCAAGCTAGAAATTGGTGTGATTTAGTGACAGCTATTAGACTTGGTTTTTGTTTTGTTTTGTTTTGGTTTTTTTAGGTACTGTACCTCTGCAAAGATAGTAACTTGCAACAAATTGATAAGCCAGTTTGATGTATATTTACAAAGACTTTTAAAATGAATGCTTCATCACAGAACTGCTGATAACATGGACTCTCTTCCCCATTTTCTCAGCCTGCCATTTTGGAACAGAGTTAATTCCCTTTATGAACTTAATTCTTGTTTTAGAGCAAGGGTCAGTATAATGTGGCCATCATCCTGTTCTTGTAAATGAAGTTGTGTTGAACACATTCACCCCCCACTGACATTATCTGTGCCTGCATTTCACCCTGCAACCTCAGAGTTGAGTGATCATGGTAGAAATTGTGTGATCTTCAAAGCCTAAACCATTCACTGGCCCATTACAAGAAAGGGTTGCCAGACCTGTTTTAGAGAAATAATCATCAGGTGAAATCTTTTAAATAGTATGCAAATGAGGTAGACTTACAAGATGCTTCCTGTTGCCATGTGTAGATTCTAAAACCACTTTTCACATTTTTAATATACAGGGCTTGCATTTTTAACTTATTTTTAAATAAGGAAGCAATTTTGTCAAGATAAAAGGGTTTTTATCTTCTTTAAAGTAATGTTCTAAATTCCCATGACATAAAATACACCATTTGAAAGTGTACAATTCAGTGGGTTTTAGTATATTTACAGTGTTGTACAACCATCACCACTAGCTAATTCTAGAACATTTACATCATCCCAAAAAGAAACCCCATTATCTGTTAGTCCCGCCCATTTCTCCCCTCCCCGTTTCCACTGACAACCCTAATCTACTTCTGTCTCTATGCATTTGCCTCTTCTGAACATTCATATTAAATAGAATTGTACAATAGGTGGCCTTTTTTGACTTTTCTCACTTAGCAGGATGTTTTCGTGGTCCATCCATGTTGGATCATGTATTAATATTGCATTCCTTTTTGTGGCTGAATAATATTCCATTGCATATCCATACATTTTGTTTATCTGTCCAACAGTTGATAAAATTTGAGTCGTTTCCACTTTTTTAGCTATCATGAGTAATGCTGCTATGAGCATTCACATACATGGCTCTGTGTGAGCACGTTTTCAGTTCTCTTGGGTACATACCTAGGGGTGGAATTGCTGGGTCACATATTGTACTTCTCTGTTTATCTTTTGTAGGAATTGCCAAACAATTTTCCATAGTTTGCTGCACCATTTTTCATTCCCACCATTTTTCCACATCCTCACTATTGTTTATCTGATTATAGCCATCCTAGTGGGTGCAAAGTTATATCTCACTGTGGTTTTGGTTTGCATTTTTCTAATGATCAATGATGTTGAGCATCTTCTCATGTTTTTCATTGTTAATTTGTAATTCTTTACATGTCTGGATAAACACCTTGTCTCAGACACGTGATTTATGAGTATTTTGTCACATTGTGTGGTCTCCGTTCACTTTCTTGATGGTGTCCTTTAATGCACAAAGTTTTTAATTTTGATGAACTCCAATTTATGTTTTTTGTTGCTCATACTTTTGGTGTCATCTATGAAACCATGATCTAATTCAAGGTCATGAGCATTTACTGTGCTATTTTTCTGTAAGAGTTTTATAGATTTAGTTCTTAAAGGTAGGTCTTTGATCTCCTTTGAGTAATTTTTGTATATGGTGTGAGGTAAGGGTCCAAATCCATTCTTTTGCATGTGGATATCCTATTGTCCCAGCACTATTTGTTGAAAAGTCTGTTCTTCTTCCATTGAATGGCCCTGGCACCCATGTTGAAAATCACTTAACCAGACATGTATGGGGTTTATTTCTGGACTCTAAATTCTATTCCACTGATCTGCTAGTTGGGTCCCTTTTATTCCCATATGAATTTTAGGTTGTTTTAGTTTATCCATTTCTGCCCACAAAAAGCAGTTGGGATTATGATAGAGATTGCATTGAATCTGTAGATCAATTTGGGGAGTACTTTTGCCAATTAATACTAAGTTTTCCAATTCATGAACACAGGATGTCTTTCTATTACTTTAAGTGTTTAGTTTCATTCAATAGCATTTTATAGTTTTCAGTGTACAAGTCTTGCAATGCTTATGTTAAATTTATTCCTTAATATGTGTATGCAAATGGAGCTATTTTCTTAATTTCCTTTTCAGAATATTCTTTCCTTATGTTTAGAAATACAACTGATTTTGTATATTGATACTATATTTCTCAACCTTGCTGAGTTTATTTGCTCTAGTAGCTTTTTTGTGGATTTCTTTAGGATTTTCTGTATATAAGATCATGTCACCTACAAATTGAGGTAGTTTTACATCTTCCCTTCCAATTGGGATGCCTTTTGTTTCTTTTTCTTGCCCAATTTCCCTGTCTAGAACCTCAAGTACAATGTTGGATTAAAGCGACAAGGTCCTTGTCTTTTTCTCAGTCTTGGAGAAAGGCTTCCAGTTTACCCTTGAGTATGATGTTAGCTGTGGGTGTTTCATAGATGCCCTTTATCAGGTTAAGAAAGTTCCCTTCTCCAATTTTGCTGAGTGCTTTTATCATGAAAAGATGTTGGATTTTGTCAAATGGCCTTTTCTGCATCAACTAAGATGATTATGTTTTTTTCCTTCATTCTGTTAACATGATGTATCACACTGATTTTTGTTGTTGTTTTTTTACGTTGAACTACCTTTGTATTGCTGGGATAAATTCCACTTGGTCATGGCGTATGATCTTTTTAATATGCTGCTGGAGTTACGTTGCTAATTTTTGTTGAGGATGTTTGCATCTATATTCGTAAAACATATGGGTCTATAGTGTTCTTGATGTCTTATACATTGCTAGTGTGATGGTAAAATCTTGTAACTTCCCTGGAAAGTAGCTTGACAGTTTCACAAAAAAGTAAACATAGAATTACCACATGATCTAGCAGTCCCACTCCTTGATATATATGCAAAAGAATTGAAACAAACAGATACTTGTTTAGGAATGTTTATAGCACTATTGCTATAGCCAAGATGTGGAAACAACAGAAATGAATGGATAACCAAAACGTGTATACATATGATGGACTGTTACTCAGTTATCAAAGGGAATGAAGTACTGATGCTCCACCATGGATGAACCTCAGAAACACTAATGCTAAGTGAAAGAAGCCAGACTGAGAACATCACATGATGTATGACTCAGTTTATGTGAAATATGCAGAATAGGTTAATCCGTAGAGACCAAGCAGATTGGTGGTTACTGGGGGCTGGGAGTTGGGGGTGGGAATCAGGAGTGACTGTGGGAGGAGGGACTTAATGCCACTGAAATGTTCACTTTAAAGTGATTAGTTTTATGTGACGTTCACTTCAATTACAAAAAGCATCTCTCTTGATTTTGTGTCTCCTCACAGGTCTGAGGAGGCAAACAAAGCCTTTTCCGCAGCTGTGCAGATGCATGACGTGCTGGTGAAAGCCTGGGCCATGTGGGGTGACTACCTGGAGAACATCTTTGTCAAGGAGCGACAGCTGCACCTAGGGGTGTCTGCCATCACCTGCTACCTGCATGCATGTCGGCATCAGAACGAGAGCAAATCGAGGAAATACTTGGCCAAGGTGAGACTGAAAGAATTTACTTCGGCCAGAGACCATCTGCTTTTAAGTTTGGCTCAAAATTTACCTATTTACTAATCCATGCTGGGTGTAAAGCATGATTTTATACATTAACTCTTAATTCCAATCACTCTTTAAAGTATGCTTACAGTTATAGTTTTTTTTTCCCCCTGGAGAAAGAGTCTCACTCTATTGCCCAGGCTAGAGTGCAGTGGCTTCCTCATAGCTCACTACAACCTCCAACTCCTGGGCTCAAGCTGTCCTACTGCCTCAGCCTCCCAGGTAGCTGGGACTATAGGCACACACCACTGCACCCAGCTAATTTTTCTATTTTTAGTAGAGACGGGGTCTTGCTCTTGTTCAGGCTGGTCTTGAACTCCTGAGCTCAAGCGATCCTCCCACCTCAGCCTCCCAGAGTGCTAGGATTACAGGCATGAGCCACCTCACCCAGCTTCCTGTTCCATTTTAAAGCTGAGAAAACTGAGGCCAGGCCATCCTTGGGGTCCCAGGACTTCTAAGTGGCAAAGCCCAGCCTGGAGTCTGGGTCTTACGGTCTCCAAGTCCTGTGCTTAGTGCTGCTGTCTGTGGGATCTCACACATTACCATAGGTGTAAGAGGAGATCTGGAATTAGAACTTACCTCCTGGACACCCATTAGATTTTAGTCCCCCACCTGCAGAGCTGTGCTCCAGACAGTCACAGAGTTGGCATGCTTTGGTGGTCACCGTGGTCTCTTTCCACACGCTGTCCCAGCACAGCCCCAAACTCGGGTGGGTGTTTGCCACGTGCTTGCTGAATGAAGGAGCACTCGAGATTAGATTCTTCTTCATGTTGCTTCCTTTCTTCCCTCTCAAGAAGCGGATGAATAAAACTCAGAATTAATTCTTGCAGAAAACTTAAGAATAAATTTTTCTGTCAGTCCTTTTTTGTTCATTAAAGGTTTGGATTTTTTAGAATTCCTTGATTTAATGTCAAAATTTGGAATGTACATCAGCACGAGGTAGTTACAGCCACCTGTAGACACACAAACCAGCTGTGCAAATTTTTACGCACTGCCTAAATATGTGACCCCAAAATTGCTTACCTCTAGATGTGGTTGTTTCAGACATCTGTGGACACCAGGCTGCCGGCATGTGGCCTCCCTGGTACTAGGGTGATGAGCATCTGAGATTTTTAGTAAAAGTCTGTTTTGTTTGGATGGATCTGAATGTGAATTAGCGGCTTGCAGGCCCCAGCCATCTGCCTGTCACTTCCTTGTGGTCACTGGTCACCGCTGGCCAGTAATTGTCCTTAAAGCAAAATCAAGAGAAAAACTATATCCAAATTTCAGGTTTTATTTATACTGTAAGATTTATATATGTTAACAATAATGTTCACCCTCTTACAGATATTTTTCTACATGGCCAGTAAAACTACTCTATGTGGTATTTTAATGTTGGGAGGAAAAGGCACTTGATCCAGGGCCTCAGAATTGTCATTCAACTCTAGAATTTTCCTTTCTGTCTCAGGTACTGTGGCTGTTGAGTTTTGATGATGACAAAAACACCTTGGCAGATGCTGTCGACAAGTACTGCATCGGCGTGCCGCCCATTCAGTGGCTGGCCTGGATCCCGCAGCTGCTCACCTGCCTGGTGGGCTCGGAGGGGAAGCTGCTCTTGAACCTTATTAGCCAGGTGGGAACAAGACGTCTGTGTCTCACACGAAAAATCATGTTTTCATTGTGCATTTTTTCTACAAAGTAAATTTGAATGGGCAGAGTATTGAAAATAAGTCAAAGAGATGGGAAGATTTAATCATTTAGGTGTTACTTAATATGAAGTGCAATGAGAAGTTATTAAAGAATATATCAGGGTTGAAATGATGTTTAAAGCAATCCAGTTTATTAATAAAACTGTAATTTCTTTACTTGAGCATTTCCCCACATATGCAAGTAAAATAAACTATTAAAAATGTAAGATTGCTAGTGGGTACTCTGTGAATTACAGTGAGATGTATATCTGATTGCTATTTTACATCTGATTTCCTGTCATGCTGGGAGCTCTTTGGAGCTTCCCTTAAGACTAAAATGTACACATAACTGTGATTGTCACCCTTTATGCCTTTCAGCTGTGTCTGTAGGGGACTAACAGTTCTCCCAGGAACTGGGAGTGAGGCTGGTAAATTGGACAGGCCAGGGCACTATAGAAAAGCTTTTGTAACCATCCTTTGAGAATGATTCCAGAATGTCCCTCTCCTTTGAAAAGACTGAGGGATAGAGGAAGGACTGAAACAGAAGAAATTTAGATAGTTGGGTCTAGGCTACAGCACGCTTGTGTTTGTTTTTATAGAAGTACAAAGTGCTACGTACCCTCATGAAAGACTAGCGCGGCTGCCACATCTTAAGAATATACTGCGCTTGTTCTGTTCACCTGTTTAGTTTGCTCTTTGCATGTGGTGCACCATCCATGTTACGTCCCGGGAATGATTTTCTTTTTTTCCTTGCAGGGATGTAACTATATTCCTGGGCACTGGCATTTTGCTTACAGTTTATCTGTTGGGATGCAGATTCGACCTATTTGTTATTGTCATTTCATGGAACATCTCTTAATGTGCGTTAGCCACCCTGTGGCCTGTGGCAGAGTTAGATATTATTTCTTCGTTTTATAGGCTCATTTTAAAGGATTTGAGCAACATGATAATAGAATCAGCCACAAAACTCCAGTTTGGTGAAACTGGTATTCCTTGCCTTAAATCGAGATTTCTCAATCTCTTCCTTCCTGCAGTTATGCAGAATAAAGTCATTTGGTAATGGGACTATTACCAAATTGATTAAAATTAGTTAATTTGCAGTGAATTGTGCTTAATATTAAAGATTAACTGGTGTTTATATATTTTTTTCTTTTATTTGCCTCAGTAAGATCCAGGGGCATATGTATGTTGCCTTCCTCAAGTTTACTGAACAAAAGGGAAATGTGGTTTCTCTGTCATCAGTAGTCACTGGGCGGAGTTGATGAAATGCTCGTGTTGATCTGTCTTGGGTCTTTTAGAGCTGAACTAGGTATTTTACCCTCCTGTTTAGTCTGGCTTCATGTGTTAGATCAGTGGTGTAGTATTTGCTTCCTTGGTCCAAATACAGATCAGAAACCCATTTCCAACTTGACATCAGTTATTTTCAATACAAATTGTCTTCATCCAGAAGCTCATTGGCGAACAAAGCTGTTTATGACTTTGTGTCTCTGAGCAGGTTGGACGAGTGTATCCCCAAGCGGTCTACTTTCCCATCCGGACCCTGTACCTGACCCTGAAAATAGAGCAGCGGGAACGCTACAAGAGCGGTACGTCTCGGGTGGGGCCAGCTGGTCTCAACGGGCTTGTTCCACGGGGGCCGCATCCAGACCTCTGTGAACACACCCTGCCCATAGCACACTCCTAGCATGTGGCCTGTCTTTTCTCTAATCAGTGAGGGAACACTTTGGGGCCGGAAGATAAAGCCTGGTCTCTGAGTAAAGTTTGTGGTTCTCATTTGCCAGGATGTAATTTGATCCATAGGTAGAAAAAAATGTATGAAATTTTTAGCTATAGAAAATTATAAAGTTTACTTTGCCTCAGTAATGAATGCGTTGCGGTTAGCAGTATAAATGCTAGTTGCTGTGTGTATATGTTTAGGTTATAAGGAAATCAGTCTTACCAGAAGTTGGTAAACATTGACTCAAAATGTAAGATTTTTTACTCTATATTGAATAGCGCTAGTATGCAAAGAAATAACTTATTTAACAGTTTCGGCTACCCACTAATCATGGTACTTTAAACAAGTAAAGCCTGTCTGCTTCACAGTGTTTTTAATACCCAGAGTCTTCCTAAGGTCCGTGGTACCCTGGTCGGTTAATGAGATTTGGTGGATTGGGGGTTGCATAGCCCATCTCAGCTCTAACCTCCTGGGCGTCTAGCTAGGCAGATTCGTCTCTGGGCCATTTGAAAATTTAAGATTTTTTAATTTTAAGACTAAGTATGATAAAAGCATAATGAGCTAAATCTAGAAAAAATGAGCATAAAGTATTCTGCAATGTATTTCTCATAGAGAAAATGACTATATTTTTCAAAAATACCATTCTACAACTGTGGTTTGGCTTTCCTGGGTGAAAAATGTAGGCTTGCTTATTAATCACTTTTAGATTCTCTGAGCTTCAGTAGCAAGGAACACATTGTGAAACATTTTTCCAGACGTTTTATTTTTACAATAGTCAAGCTTACAGAAAAGTGACAAAGCAGGGAGTGCCCAGTGAGCCCTTGTACACCCTCGCCTAGATTCCCAGGTTGCATGTTGTCACATCTGCTTTCTCTCTCGACATGATACTTGGTGACAGCTGTGCTGCCCACCCCTGAGTCCCTCAGCGCAGCTGTCCTGAGACCAGGGCCTTCCCCCGCAGCCCCTGGGGAAACGGTCCTGTGGGGATCACACACCGGCAGGAACCAGCGTTCCTTTGGCCAGTGGGTCCTGTAGAGCTCCAGGCTCTGGCATCTGTCAGTTTTGCGCTGACATTGGCGTTGTGTGTGTTGCTCTCAGATTCTGGACAGCAGCAGCCAAGTTCAGTGGGTAACCAGTCCCATTCTGCATCAGATCCAGGGCCCATAAGAGCAACAGCACCAATGTGGCGCTGCAGCCGAATCATGCACATGCAGCGAGAGCTCCACCCCACCCTTCTGTCTTCCCTGGAAGGCATCGTCGATCAGATGGTCTGGTTCAGAGAAAATTGGCACGAAGAGGTATTTGGATATGATCTTGCACATGCTGACTACTTGTAGAGGGAACTGTCATTCTGTATGCTTTTGTGGCTGTAATATCTTTAGGTTTAGCTGCCTGGTCATTTTATGTATTAATTGTTGGATTTAACCATGGAGCAGGCAAAACTAGTTAATTTCTGCACACTACCACAGCCTTAAACATTTGAAGCAGAAGACTTCAGAAGAAGAGGATGACATCGAGAAAGCTGTTTCTTGATGTTAAAATGCTTGCTTTGCTCAGGTAGCTCGGTGACTTGAGTGCCACCAGTCGACCAGGTGTGCACAGAAGCCGTGGTGCAGGCCACACGGTTATAATTTCCAGAGATGGGGGTTAGTCCTCCAGGGATCTTCTCAGCAGCCGGGCCACCTCCTTAGTGATATTTGCTTAAGCTGACGATAAAATGATGTACATTCTGCTGCCCAGATACTTACCTAGCTGGGTCAGGGGCCAGCGCATTGCTGCTGTCAGTGTAATGTGTGTGCAGATGTGCAGTGGTAACTACAAAGCCATCTGGAAGCAAGACTGTCCTGTGTCTAACCCGCACATGGGTATGTGTATGGCCCACAACAGTGGGGTTTTCTTTTTTGGTGTTTTTTAATGGCCAGGACTATTACTTCTCATGGCTAAAAACACCAGCGCCCAGTGTGGTGCACAGCGTCGTCTGTTCCCACGTGCTGGCTTTACACCTGCTGTGCGCCAGATGCTGGGTGGGTGCAGAAAGCAACCCCGGTGGGAGAGGGCCGTGCCTGACAAACACTGTGGCCGGCTGGCTGCTGAACGGAGAGCTCTGTTTTGTCAATCGTCTTTGGCCTCTTCCCATTAGGTTCTCAGGCAGCTCCAACAGGGCCTGGCGAAGTGTTACTCTGTGGCATTTGAGAAAAGCGGAGCAGTGTCTGATGCCAAAATCACCCCCCACACTCTCAATTTTGTCAAGAAGTTGGTGAGCACCTTCGGGGTGGGACTGGAGAACGTATCCAACGTCTCGACCATGTTCTCCAGCGCGGCCTCCGAGTCTCTGGCCAGGCGGGCCCAGGCCACTGCGCAGGACCCCGTCTTTCAGAAGCTGAAAGGCCAGTTCACGACAGGTGAGTCTCGCTTTTCTTTCCCTGTGTCTAGGGTAAGTTCTGTGTACTGTTTTTCCTTGATCTTTGACATTGAAGCTAATTGTATCCGTTCGTTTTCTTATCACCAAACTGGATGTACTTATGCTGTTTAAAATAGAGACTTCTGAACACAAAGCCTGAGGCTGCACATCTTCTCTAGTAAAGGGTCAGGGTTTGGGCAAGAGCTGCCCAGCTCTAACGTAGGGTAGAAGGCACGTGGTTTTTAAGCCAAACTGCTGGCTTGCCACCCTGTGACCTTTTTCACTTGGTGTTGTTGGGAAGCAGCGTAGGGTGTGATGGTGGCATGCACAGGTGCAGGGCTCTTGCCGTGGATACTGGGACATGATGACAGGGAGGTTGTATTTTCAGTACTTGTGCCTTGCTCGGGGTAGTACATTTTCCTAGACTCACAGGAGCTCAGGTCCTGGCTCCGCCTCTTAACTGTGTGATCTGAGGGAAGGGAGTCCGGTTTCCCTCAGCCTGGGTTTCTTCATCTGCCAAATAGGGATCTTCGCCCTTAGTGCGCACACTCGTGCGTGCACACCCACACCCACTGCCGCGCACAGGCACAGCGGCGTCCTGTGCTGATTCTTATCCTCGTTCTGCCTCTGTCCCCCTGGCCTGCCTGTCCCTCTGGCTCAGGAGCCCGTGGGTGCCTGGTCCCCAATGTCGAGTTAGCCACCCGAGTGACTCTGTGGGTTCTTACCTCTCACGTGTCAGTATGTGAGTGATCATCGTGTGAACACAAGGCTTGTCTGATGTTAATTTCCCAGAGGTTAAAAAAGAAAATGCTTAATTAGTGCTTTTGTAACAATCTTTAAAACATCTTTTCTTGGTTAAACCACAGGTTCACATTTTTAGGCATTTAAAGTATTTTTTAAATTAGAGAATACAGTTAAGAGTATGTATATATGTAGAGTAGGTTGAAATAATGCAAAAGAAAATATTTATCCCATTAATGGTTAAGGATGCTTTGCAGTTACAGCCATGACTGATTGTGGTTTTTTTATTTTTTACTTTTAGAGACACTCTCACTCTATTGCCCAGGCTGTAGTGCAGTGGCCTCATCATAGCTCACTGCAACCTCAAACTCCTGGGCTCAAGCCATCCTCCCATCTCAGCCTCCTTAATAGCTGGGATTACAATAGACACGCACCACCATGCCCAGCTGATTTTTTTTTGTAGAGACCAGGTCTCGCTATGTTGCCCAGGCTGGTCTCGAACTCCTGGCCTCAAGCGAATACCTTGGCCTTCCAAAGTGCTGGGATTACAGGTGTAAGCCAGGACCTGGCCCATTTTTTGGAATCCATCTGAAATACGTGTACAGCCAGACAGTCGTGGGGTGCTGGGCTCCCTGTTCTTGATGTGTGAGTTGGACATTAAAGGTAACACTGGACTAACCTTAATGTTGAGGCTTCCACACGTGAGGAAGGTGCTCTTTGAAAAATAGAGGACAAGTTATGTCCTGTCATGTCTTTTATTGTGAAGTGCTTTCATCAACTTAGACTTCTTTGTGAAGTTCGTGTGATGTGTGGTCTGTCTGCTACCTTTCTCTGAAAAGAGGAAGAGTCTGAGATGAAAGTTTTATGAAAATCATCATATTTATTTATACTTAAAAGAAGTGTTCAATATGCTTTTATCTTAAAATGTCCAGATCATTAAATCAAATGTAGTCTGAAGTGGAGAATCAGAAGTGAGACAAATTATCTGGGTTTTGATGTTAAGAAAAAAGTCACAAAAACTGAAACCAGATAGAAGTCAGCTTGTGAGGCTTCCGACCCGCTGCAAACTGTGGCAAGATTCAGATATTTAAGTTGGGAGCTCGTCCGCCCTCTTCTCTCTCTGCTCACAGGGAGGTCATTTCTGTCGACACCATGTTCCATTCTGTGGACTGCACTTCTATTCTCTGGCAATATTGTGTGTGTTGGCTGCTAACCAGCTGTCCATAAAAAGCTGGAAGAAAGTTCAAGACCAACACACTGCGTTTATTCCAGAGAAATGAAGACTTATTTTTGTTTGGAACTTGTATGAGATTATTCATAGTCACTTTATTTGTCATAGCCCAAACTGGAAACCAACCAAATGTCCTTCCAGAGGTATTGATGCATAAGCAAAGTGTAGTACATCCGTACTCAGCAATAAAAAGGAGTTAATTATTGATACAGCAACTTGGATGAACCTCAAAGAATTTATGCTGTGTGCAAAACGCCAATTTCATAAGGATACACACCATATGACTCTTATGAAACATTTGTAAAATAACGTAAGAACAGGGTTGGAGGACTGGCTAGTGGTCACCAAGTGTTAGGGATGCAGGGAGGAGACGGCTGTGGCTGTAAAGTGTCACAGGGGGTCTTGTGGTGAAGGTACAGTTGAGCGTCTTGAGTGTAGTAGAGGTCGTGCAAGGCTGCACTCCTGATAAGACTTTGCATGCGCACGCGCGCGCGCACACACACACACACCCCCGCGCCCCCCCCCCCCCAGGTGCACACATCGCTGGTGCAATCTGAGTCGGCTCTGGATTGGACCAGTGTCACTCTCTTGGTTTTAGCATCGTGCTGGGGTGGACACTGGCATGGGAGGAGGGGTTCAGGAATGCATGTCATTTCTTTGTAACCTCCTGTAAATCTATAATTATTTCAAGATAAAAGTTTAAAAAGAAACAGATCAGGCATGAGCTTGGCAGCACCTTCTTGATCCAGAGTGGGGCAGAAACAGCCCCATGTGTGAAGCTGCCTGCGTTCCAGATGGGTGGGCTCTGTTGCAGTTCTGCTGGGAGGAGGGAACCTTGCCCTGTCTTGCCTTGGTGAGTGGTGGCCTCTCCTGCCACCTGCTCATGTGACATCATGGCACTCACTGTGAAGAGTACAGAGGAAGGCGATGACAGAGCTTAAAATGAAAGGGAAACCAGATAAATGCCGTGAAAAAAACAGAAGAAAATACGTCGACTTTCCTAAAACCAGTTGCATTTGTGTACAGCTAAGTTCCTATGTGGACAGCGAAGATTAGGCTATTAGAATAGCTGGATATTCGGCTGAATCCTACCATATGCCGCCTCAGTTAATTTAATCCTCGTGGGGTAGATGTTATTCCTTCTGTTTCATGGGTGAGAAAAGTGAGGCCCAGGAGGTTCAGTATGAGCTTAAAATCCTGCAGCTGCGAGTGCACGAGCTGGGCCTTAGCAGGTCTGACTTCCCAGGGCTCCAAAATGCTGCACCACACTGAGCTTCACGTGCCTAAGGGTTAGGTCTGGAGTTGGCACCAAACGACAAAATAACCTGCAAACTTTAACCTGCCTGTGAAATGCAGTATACACAGGGGTTATGTATTCTGTGTGTTCTCTCATTTAGTCTGACAGCCTGATTTTTCTCAAATGGTTGGATTAAATCACTTTTCTGGGTTGAACACCAATAGTATAGATCTGTTTAGGGACCGTTTTATAGGGAGCCTGTGGTGGGATTTGATGGTTTGTAGTTGATGTGTTAAATATGCATCTGGTACAGCGGTGACGTCCAGGGCGGGAAGAGGTGAGGGCAGGTTTTGCACATGGGCGGCCACGCCTGCTTGGGGGCCTTGCCCGTGTGGGCATCTCATGCTCGGCATCAGTTCGGCCTTCGCCAGTTTCTAGTTCCAAACTGATGCTGTTGGCCCGTCGGTCATTTTCTGTGTGTTGAGCTCCCGGCCATCGGCAGCTGCCCTGGGGAAGCAGGAGGTGGGAGCAGGCAAGTCCTTGCCGAGTCTGCAGGAAGCTCTGCCCCAGCGAGGGAGACCATGCCTTCCTTCGCCACGTCCAGGAGGCGTGTGAAGGTGTCTCTGCTGCTGTCGCACAGCCACCATTTCACTTGGGCTCAGGATAACCCGTCCTGGGGACAGTGCCTGTGTGGCTCCCACGGGCCCCTGCTTTACAACAGCACTGCGTGGGGGCAAGTTAGGGTGGCGAGACTCCCAGCACCAGAGCTCATCTGGGAGGAAGGTGAGGTTTTTTTTTAAAAGAAGTACTTTTTAATTTAATTAATCTTTTTTTTTTTTTTTTTTGAGACAGAGTCTCACTGTGTTGCCCGGGCTAGAGTGCCGTGGCATCAGCCTAGCTCACAGCAACCTCAAACTCCTGGGCTCAAGCAATCCTTCTGCCTCAGCCTCCCGAGTAGCTGGGACTACAGGCATGCGCCACCATGCCCAGCTAATTTTTTCTATATATTTTTAGTTGTCCAATTAATTTCTTTCTATTTTTAGTAGAGACGGGGTCTCGCTCTTGCTCAGGCTGGTCTTGAACTCCCAACCTTGAGCGATCCACCCTCCTCGGCCTCCCAGAGTGCTAGGATTACAGGCGTGAGCCACCGCGCCCGGCCTAATTAATCTTTTAATATTGAGTCTCAGTAACATCTGAGAAATACATTAACCAGGGATTTTTTAATTGCTTAAGTGAAAATGTTTTCCGTTTTTGTCATTTTGGTTTCTTGCCTTAATTCCTTCTAATGAGCTTGTTTAGAACTTGGTGTTCTCCTGACGTTGCTCCTCCCGCTCCCCGGCTCCCATCAGTGCCGCCTTGGGTTTGACTTGGGGCCTCTGTCTCCCCGTGTGACGCGTGTGCTCAGGTGGTGCCGCCATACTGGCGTTGGATGTGGTCTTTGGGCCCTGGCAACACAGGCTCCCAGGCCGCTGTCAGGATGCGCAGGCTGCCCTCAGTCGAGCTCCTGGCGTCCCCAAGGGCCCAAGCCTCACGCGCTGAGGTGGATGCTCAGCCTGCACCATTCCCTGAGAGGAGCCTGGGGTGTCACGTTGGGGTTTGTTTCTCCTCCTCCTCCTGCTCCTCCGTGCAGCACCGTGCGTGCGTGGTGCCAGACCTCTCGTTCTTTCAGGCCTCAGCTTACACTTTAAAGAGTAAGGGGTGCTGGTTTGTTCCTCATTACACATGGAACATGCCTAATTTGTAGCTGGTAGGTGCTTAAGCAGTGATTTTATAGTGAATTAGAAATAGCCCAAATGGTTAAAAATGTTTTTAACCTTGTTTTATTTTGAAGATTTTGACTTCAGTGTTCCAGGATCCATGAAGCTTCATAATCTCATTTCTAAATTGAAAAAGTGGATCAAAATCCTGGAAGCTAAAACCAAGCAGCTTCCAAAATTCTTCCTGATAGAAGAAAAGTGCCGGTTTTTGAGCAATTTTTCATCACAGACCGCTGAAGTGGAAATTCCTGGGGAATTTCTGATGCCGAAGCCAACACATTATTACATCAAAATCGCTCGGTGAGTGAGCCTGGCCCTGGCGGGTGGCGACTCACACGGCCCCCCGAGGACACGGAGCCCGTGTGGGAGGCTTCAGGGAGACCCTGTGGGGTATTTCAGACACTGGTTCCCTGAAATGAGAGAACTTAAGATAGTTCTAAGATTGGAGTGATCGGGCACCTTAAAAGTTCTGATCTAACTGATAGGTTGACTGTCTTGAGTGAAGTTGGGGTTTGCTTTCTAAAGGAACTTTTCAGATCACCACAGAACTTGGCAAACTGTAAAGTGTCCCAGTCTTTTGTAAACTGTTAAAGCACAGGATTCAAGACGGAGTGGGAGGATTGTAGAATTTACTAGAGCACGCTGCCTCTCATTTGAAATATAAAAAGTGCTTCAAAAAGGCTTCCCTTAACAAAGCCACGTGTTTCATTTTTATTTCTGAATCAGACGCAGAGCTTTGCTTTTCCCTATGTCCAGAATCCAGTTTCCCTTTCCTCTGAGCCTAGCGCGTGTCCTGGCCATCCGTCCCACCTCCCCAACTCCCGTCAGTGGCCGCTCAGTTATAGAATGTTGTGATGCCATCTCTGCCCTGTCACAGTGAGGCGGGGCATAAACAATTGATAAATGACTGCCCACCTGCACAGGCACTTTTCCCGTGACAGTTCTGGAAACTCTATTTTCTTAAGAAAAGGAATGGAAGTCGAGACTCAGCTCACGTCCTGTCGTTTGCTCGCGTTGGTAGGTTTATGCCCAGGGTGGAGATCGTGCAGAAGCACAACACGGCAGCCCGGAGGCTGTACATCCGCGGGCACAACGGCAAGATCTACCCCTACCTCGTCATGAACGATGCCTGCCTCACCGAGTCGCGGCGGGAGGAGCGTGTGTTGCAGCTGCTCCGCCTGCTGAACCCTTGTTTGGAGAAGAGAAAGGAAACCACCAAGAGGCATTTATTTTTCACAGGTATGAGAGCTGCGCTTTGAGGGGCACGGACAGCTCATGTTAGCTCCGGAGGGCCTGCGTGTGCTGCTGTGTCCACAGCAGAGGATGTTTACGTCGTGGCGAGCAGGCAGGGCCTCCAGATGGGAGCAGCCTGCCAGCCCCTGTTCCTGCAGGAAGCCACTCGGGCCTTCAGGCTCCTCACTGTGGGACAGTTTCCCCTAAGGCCTTCCCAGCTCTGTGGAATGTTCATTTGGAAGGTGTGGCACCGGGCCCGTGTGCACTCCCTTTTTCTTTGGGAACCTTTCTGTGCTCTGCTGAAAGCTGGGCTGAGCCGAGGGCTTGTTGCTGGTGTGTGACAGCACACGTCAGCTTTGCAGCTCACACTCCCTGTGGACCACACGTGCACCATGTGGGCGCTGCCTGGGGTGGTGACTCAGGACAGTCCAGCAGCCCTGTGAAGACCACAGAAATCATTGCCAAGTGGCACAAATAGCTAATAAGAAGCAACCTCTTACTAGGTTGTTTTCACAGCTGAGTTGTTGCGAGTGGCTGGTTTCTGTCTAGAACGGGGGAGTAGATGAGATGCCTATAATTGTACTCAGATGAGAGCCATTGTAACAATATTTTAGCACGTAGTCCCTGGGGTTAGGAGTACACGGCAGTGCGTGTTATCTAGTCCCGTGTGGAACTTTCTTCTGACAGCTAAGGTATGATCCAACTCATTTTGACCTGAAGTCTCTGATCCTTAAGTCTAATATCTCAAGAAATAGAGTCAAGGCCGGGCGCGGTGGCTCACGCCTGTAATCCTAGCACTCTGGGAGGCTGAGGCGGGCGGATCGTTTGAGCTCAGGAGTTCGAGACCGGCCTGAGCAGGAGCGAGACCCCGTCTCTACTAAAAATAGAAAGAAATTAATCAGACCACTAAAAATATATAGAAAAAAAATTAGCCGGGCATGGTGGCGCATGCCTGTAATCCCGGCTACTCAGGAGGCTGAAGCAGAAGGATCGCTTGAGCCCAGGAGTTTGAGGTTGCCGTGAGCGAAGCTGACGCCACGGCACTCACTGTAGCCCGGGGAAAAGAGTGAGACTCTGTCTCAAAAAAAAAAAAAGAAATAGAGTCAAAAAACATGTCTAAAGTAAATTCGACGTGCATTACAGAAAGCTATCTGTGTTTTAGCATGTGTGTAATATGATGTATAACTTTTTGCAACAAAATTGCTGAATATTACCTTAATCTGGTATCTTAATAAAATATCTCATATAATCCACACACAATCCTCTGGAGGTAGGTACTTTTATCCCACTTTTCGATGAAGAAACTAAAGTTCACACATGTCCAGTAACTTTCCCCAAGGTGATGTCACTAGGAAGGCAGACTCGGGCAGAGGGGTGGCCCAGAGTGGGCACACTCAGCGCTCTGCTGTGCTGCTTCCAGCTGGTGCCCTCATGGTCGTGAGGTTGGCCACCATCACGTGAGTCGAGTTGCTTAGCAAACTGCATCCCAAGTACTAGAATAGTGATTGGAGAACAGAGTGTTGGTCACTGTGTGGATGACTTACAAGTTAACTGGGTTGAATTATCAGATCGACTCTGGTGGCTTTCGTTATCTGAACCACAGGACACAGAGAATGACTTGGGGTTATTTTCTTCTCCAAAGATGGAGCATAGCCACTCTAGATAATGGAAGGCAAGTTAGTGAAATTAAACGTGATAAATGCCGGAGGCGAGTGGGATTCTTCTGGAAGTAAGCTCTGATTAAGGAGGACCTCTAAAGAGTGAACATTTGGCAGAGTCTCTTTATTTTTTATTTTTTAAGTTTGCCTCCTAAAGCATTTCTGTTTGTGAGCTCAGGGTTACAATCTGCTCAGGTGCATGAATAGATGAGTGTGACACGGGCTCTTCCTCTGCGCTCACAGAGCCAGGCTCTGCTCCCAGCACGCGCCCTGGAGGTGGAGCCAAGTGCTAACCTGCCCCCCATTTCTCTTTCCCCGCACAGTTCCCCGGGTTGTGGCGGTGTCCCCACAGATGCGCCTTGTGGAGGACAACCCCTCTTCACTTTCGCTCGTGGAGATCTACAAGCAGCGCTGCGCCAAGAAGGGCATCGAGCATGACAACCCCATCTCCCGCTACTACGACAGGCTGGCCACGGTGCAGGCGCGGGGGACCCAGGCCAGCCACCAGGTGGGCGCCAGTTGAGCCAGGCAGGGCTGCTGAGCTGCCGCCTGAGGCCCTTACACGTGGCTGCTTTCTTGTAGTGGTGCTCGGACGACAAGTGTGCTCAGGACATAGCGGGGCGTTGTTTGAGGGGTGCCTGTCTCACTTAAAATAACTTACTAGACTCAGGAGATTTTAGAAATTAGGCAGCCCTTGATCTTAGTGAGGGCATGTTTGCTGTAGGTGGTTTGTTATGACTGGACAGAGGTGAGTTCACAACCTTGGAGAGGTCTTTGTCCTTTACATGGACTTATAAAGAAGCTCAGAAATTATATATACGTATATGTATATTTTTTGAGACTGTCTCTGTTGCCCAGGCTGGAGTGCAGTGGCGTGATCATAGTTCCTTACAGCCTCAAATTCCTGGGCTCGAGTGATCCTCCTGCCTCAGCCTCCCAAGTAGCTACCAGACTTGGCTAAATTTTTTAAAATAAGTTTATAGCAAACTGATTTGGCAGCCAGACCTAATCTGGAGCGCGGTGAGGCTACTTATGATCTGTGTTTGTTCATGTTCATCTGCTCTGCTGCTGGGGCTTTACTACACATACTTTCTGCAGTACAAAAAGTGATGAGCTCTGAAACACATGGGCCCAGCTGTATTGCCTGCTTCAGCCAGGAGCAGAGTACCAGTGTACTAGGTGGCTGTCATCTGCAGCCCCTCAGAGGTGCAAAGGCCCTTCTCCTCACCTGCAGATTTTTGCCCTTGGTGGAAGCAGAGCTGGTGTGGGCTCCAGATGAGATTTTGTTCAGGATTGTGGAGCACCAAAAGGCAGCTCTTTTGGCCTGCCCAGGTGCCCTTGTGGTACTTCCTGTGGGTCCCAAGAAGGAAGGACCACAGAAGTGGGTGCTGTGGCCTTGCCCCAAGTCTCCCAGGGACTCACTCTGGTTCATCTGGCTCCCAGAGGACTTAGTTTTGCTTAGGAAAACTGAGCCCTGGGGTGCCTGTTTCACCTCCTCTGCAGGGCCCGGGCACAGCAGGGCCCAAGGTGCTACAGGCTGCGGGGGCAGGTGCAGCCTCCGCCTGTGTGCAAGCAAAGGGTGCGGATCCCTGTTTCTGATCGGCCTCTGTGCACAGAGCTTGGGGCCTCCCTTGGGAATCAGTGCCAGGGCTTTCTCATGGCACAGGTCACGGCCTGGTGGTTCTGTGGACCTCCAGCAGTCTCAAGGTTTTTGCAGGAAAGGAGTGGATCATATTCTTAAGGCCACATTTACCTTTGACAGTGTGGAAGCCAGCGACCTGTGTCTGCACACACGTACTGACGTCAGAAGCCCCTTTTGTTTTATAAACAGCACGTGGCTGACCAGGCTAAGGCTGGTCCAGCTTAGACATAGGACGAGGGTCCTGCTGAGCTGGGGAGACACTGATGGTACAAAAGAACCCAGCTTCCCGGCCTCTTCTTACCCTTTGTTCCTGGTTGGTTTTCTTTGTAGCACCTTTATTGTTATAAATATTAAATTGGCATAATTCACCTACCATAAAACTATACATACCCTTTATAAAGTACATACACAAATCAGTGTTTACAGTATATTCACAGAGTTGTGCAATCATCACCGTTATCTATCTTCCCCCCTCCTTTTATCACCCCCAAAAACCCTCACACCCATTACTAGATGTGCCCTGCTCCTCTCTACTCCAGCCCTGGCGACCCCAATCCTCTGCTTTTGTGGAGGTGCCTGTTCCAGACACGACATGAGTGGAGTCGCACAGTGTGGACTTCCGTGTCTGGCTTCTTTCATTCAGTGTCATGTGTTCAAGGTTTATCCATTTTGTGACATGCATCAGTAGTTCATTACATTTTAGTGCCACATAATATTCCAGTATATGAATATACCATTTAGCCACTCATCAGTTGACAGACTTTTGAATTGTTTACACTTTTTGACTATTACAACTAATGCTGCTATGAACATTCGTGTACTTGGTTTTTTGTGTGTTATTTATTTTCAGAGGCAGGGTCTTGCCCAGGCTGGGTTCGAACTTCTGAGCTTGAGCAATCCTCCTGCCTCAGCCTCCCGAGTAGCTGGGACTACAGGTGCATACCACTGTGACTGGCCTTGTACATGTTTTTGTGTGGACATATGTGTTCATTTCTCTTGGATGTATGTCCAGCAGTGGAATTGCTGGGTCACACAGTAACTCTTGTGTTTAACATTTTGATGAACTGCCATGTTGTTTTCTAAAGTGTCTGCAATGTATGAAGGTTCTAATTTTTCCACATCCTCGTCAACACATATTATTGCCCGTCTTTTTAATTGTAGCCACCCTAGTGGATGTGAAGTGCTGTCTCGTTTTGGGTGATGACTGGTAATGTCGAACGTTTTTTCCTGTGCTTATTGGCTATCTTTTTATTGGTATATTTTCTTTGGAGAAATGTCTATTCAGGCTCTTTGTCCACTTTTAAATTGGGCAATTCGTCTTTTTATTGTTGATCCTAAGAATTCTTTATATGTTCTGGATACAAGTTACTTGATACAAGTGACTTCCCTTTTTTTCCCTGTGTGTTGGCCATGTTTTCCGGATTCTGTGTGTGTCTTATAATTATATTTAAGTACTATAATTTGGCAACTGTAGAAATCGGATCCTCCTCCTAAGATTTGTGGCTGTTTGTTTTTTGTGACTTCCCTGAACTAATTCTGTAAAGTCTGTTGAAGTCTCTGCTCAGTTAGCTCAGTGGTTAGCTAAGAATTTGACAGAGATTTTCTTAAATGCCTTGAATCAATAGGTCTTCCACCTTTTTTGAGGGCCTGTGGGAGTGTGCGTGTGGCCACGCCTTCAACATGGCCAGTGTACAACTCTGCCTTAGCCCTCTCTTCCTGCTTGTGCAGAGCCCCACGTGGGGTCTTCTAAGGTTTTTCATAAGCATGTCTGTGGCCTTCTAGATTCCTGGAATATGTCGGAGCTTTTCAAAGTCCTCTATGGTCATCCCCAGCCCTTTGTTTTATTTGGCTCCTGCTCAAGTGGCCTGGCTGCCTCAGGGACCTGCCATGGTAAACAGTTGTCGATGATTGTTTCCAACAGACTCACTTGAGAAACGATGTTCCTCACTGAGTGAGCTGAGGTTGGTTAAACGGAGACGAGCCCTGGGAATGAGTCTTTCTTCAGGAAGCTGCCATACAGGTCAAATAGTGACAGTTCTCTTGGGATGAGGCTTTTCTGGGGAATTGCCAAACCCATCTTGTCCACTGCAGTGGCTGTCAGGCTGCCGACTTCCACGGCTGCCACGGTTGCAGGGCTGTTGTTTTCCAGGCCACTGTGGAGCCGGGAAGAAGGGGATGGGAGTCGGGCACCTTAAGTTGTCACAGAGCTCACTGTTCTTACCAGGATTCAGGCTTTTTTTTTTTTTTTTTTTTTTTATCTCCTCGGACTGTTGCAAACCTTTAACTCCCAGAGTTCTGAAAAAGTTGATTTTGATGATTTTTGCCAGTATTCTTAACTGCTTTGGGAGCAGACTTTGTAAGTCCTTACTCTGCAGTCTTAGACGTGCTTCTCTCCATTTTACAGATGAGGAAATGAACAGAAATGTGTGTTGATGGTCTGCCTCGTGGTCGTTTGCTGAGGGCCTGCATTCCAATGGCTATTCAGAGCACGTGGGTAGGGCTTAGCCCGGAACAGACCTTGTGCCTTTACCAGTCAGTCTAACGGGAACTAAATTAACTCAATCAACTCCTTTATCGAGGCCCTCTCTAAATTCGTGATGTTTGAAGTAGTCTTGTGAGTCTTTCAGTACAGAATTCAGTTAAAGTGTTGTTTGATATCTGTTCTTAGACTAGCTCCTTCAGTTTATAAAATTTTTGTCTTTAATAGTCTTTGATTTGGCTGGGCGTGGTGGCACATGCCTGTAGTCCCAGCACTTTGGGAGGCTGAGGCAAGAGGATCACTTGAGCCCAGGAGTTTGAGGCTGCTGTGAGCTAGGCTGGCGCCACCGCACTCCAGCCGGGGCGATAGAGTGAGACCCTGTCTCAAAAAAAAAAAAATAGTGTTTGATTTGAAGGTGGTGGTGTTGGTATCCACCTATTCTTTTTTTGTTTTTGTTCATTGATCTGATATATTCTATAGTTAAGGGTGGAAGTTGTTTTCAGATATTTATCCACATTCTTATAAGACAAATGATATCACACATCATGTAACTTAAGGCCTTTATTCAAACCAGCTCCATTGGCGCTTTAGAGCGTAAGACATCAAACCCTGGAAGGAAATTAAACAGTCTTGTGCATCCTCATGGGCAGTCTAATAATAAAGCATATACATTTTTGTCAACAAAATTCACTCTATAGTGCTAAGTAACTAAGTATTTGCAATTTGAAAGTTTTCCTTTTGCAGAAAAAAATAAGTGCATTAGATGGGGGAGGTCATGGAGTGATGTGTTTCAGGTCCTGCGAGACATCCTCAAGGAAGTTCAGAGTAACATGGTGCCACGCAGCATGCTTAAAGAGTGGGCCCTGCACACATTCCCCAACGCCACAGACTACTGGACGTTCCGCAAGATGTTCACCATTCAGCTTGCCCTGATTGGCTTTGCAGAATTCGTCCTGCATTTAAATAGACTCAACCCCGAGATGCTACAGATCGCTCAGGTAACTTGCTATGAACAGCCAGACCCACTCCTTTAGACGTCACCATTCTGCTGATGAAGTTCCTGAAGTGTCTCCTTCTGAAATTTAGGACACCGGCAAACTCAATGTTGCCTACTTTCGATTTGACATCAATGATGCCACTGGAGACCTGGATGCCAACCGCCCCGTCCCTTTCCGCCTCACACCCAACATTTCCGAATTTCTGACCACCATCGGCGTGTCTGGCCCATTGACAGCCTCCATGATCGCTGTCGCCCGGTGCTTCGCCCAGCCGAACTTTAAGGTGGGTCTTGTCCGTGAGCAGCGCGGGCCGGGGTTACTCCCACACACATTGGGCCTTGCAAGAGCTGCTCGTCCGCTAGCAAGGGGACGGAATGTCGAGTTAGAAGGGCCAGTTGTTGCTGTACAATTAATTTATCCATTTGGGAGAGCGGTCTGGAAGTGTTCCCTGTCCAGAAGTGTTGAGGATGTCGAGGAACCCAGTTTATGAAAAGGAATCTAGAAGCCTCCACTGGGTAATTTAGCCCTATTCCCGCTGTCAGTTTTGTACGACAGCTTCCGTTTCCCATTCTGCACATCTTCCTGGCATGAAAGTGCAGAAGTATTCTCTGTGGGTTGGCGCTTGCCTTGCCAGGGGTGTGAGATGTGGCCGGATGCCCTTGGCGCCCTGGTACACGTGAGGCCAGGGTGTCTGATGGCTCTGCCACGGGGTCTGGACAGCAGCCAGACCTGCCGTCTCCCAGGCACCTTCCCTGTGGCGGGCACTGGGTGCTGAAGTGGGTTCCCATCAAATTCCCCCAATGCTCTCGCTCAGATGGGGGAACTGAGGCCAGGGAAGGTAAGTGACACTCCAAAGGTCACCGAGCGGGGACAGGGGTGCGGTGACGACTGGGTTGCAAATCCAGTTCATTCTGACTCCGAGCCTGACTCCCCTCCCTCCACCAAAATCCTCTCTATGCAGTCCAGGGCTGAACACAATCTTATTACTTTATTTTTCTTTTAACTTAGGAGAACAGTTGTACCTTTTTTTCCCCCAGATAAGCAGTTTGCATCTAGAGAGGGCCTCAGAAACCAGTTGCTTTCTAAAAACATTTATTCACAACAGTTTTTAAATGATTGCATAAACTCTTAGCTGTGAACAGGACTGCACGTTATACACACACCTTGCTCTTTAATGGGTAGTAGCACGTGTCCATCGACGTGGGATGCTGTTCGGGATATAGTGAATACCTGTATGAATGTGAGTAAAATTAACTGGCCTTTGTGTTTGTTCTTGAGTTAAGGAGTTTGGGTTCTAGTGCAGCAAATGGTAGTTTATTATTGTTACCTATGGCGTGCTTGAAATAGGAAGTTCTCATTTAGATAGAAATGTTATACTTCTGGAAACATCCATAGGGATATCCTTAGAATAGCATTTCATTTGAAAACTTTAAGTAAAAAGACTTAAGAAGACTTTCCATAACCTAAGGCCTGTGACAACTTGGAGTGACACCGTGCGTTACCCTTTGCAGACCGTGGTGGTGTAGGTGGGAAGAAGTTAGATCTCCAAACTTTGGGCCCGAATTTCTGGACAGACTGAATTTAGTGAATGCCTTTAAGTTAAGCTCAAATGTAGACCATTCTGTAAATTGTGTGTGGGAATCTCTCCGTTGGCACCAAATAAGGCAGGATAAAAACCTCTTTGATCTGAAGTGACTTTTAAATAGTCCTGGGTGCCTGAAATGAGAGCCCTCTGCTTCCTGGGAACACAACAGCGTACTGTACTGGATCTTTCCCTGCACAAGGGGTCGCCCTCTTCTCCCCGTTCCCAGTCCTGGGCGTCTCAGCCACCATCCTGACTCTCACTGCCACACATATGTTTGATTTTGCAAATTTACACCTTGAACTCCAGCCCCGCCTCATCCCCACCTGGTCGCGGTTCCCTCCGCTGGCATGTGTCTGTCGTCCTGCAACACCCACTGCCTCGGCCTCCTCCCAGTGTGCAGCCGGCCTCACGAGCCTCGTGGGTCCAGCTTTGTCACCCCTGTGGGGACAAAGCTCCACTTAGGCCTCTCACCTTGTGGTTGGAGCAGTCCTTTAGGACAGAAGCCCCGTCTTGTCATGTTCTGCTCCGCACTCCCCGGGATTCCAGCTACGCAGAGTAGCGAGAGCCCCGACCACACCACTGCTGGCGCGGTGACTGGAAACGAGAGGCTGGCCAGACACTGGTGTGCGCGCTTGACGTTCATTCGCTCCTTGAATCTGCACATCGCTGGGGGGAGAGGCTGTGTGACTGCGTCCTGTTTACAAAGGGGAAATTGAGGCACGGGGCTTGAGTAATGTACCCAGGTGGGACGTGTTGGAGCCTGTGCCGCGGCCTCCCACTGTTGCTCCAGCACAGCCACGCCCACCCCGCTGTCCCCGCCTTGGCGTGGTGGGTCCCTCATCCTGCAGCACCATGTGCTTGGCTCCCCCACTTCCTTCTGGTCTGCCCAAGTGTGACCTTGCATGTCTCCTCGTCACGGGCTCCTCAGAGCACCCCGCTCCGAGCCACCCCACCGGCTCTGTTCTCCGCACCCCCTGGCAGGTAACTTGCTTTTACTGGTCAGCGGTGAGCCCATGAGGGCAGGGTGTGGTTTTCTGTCTTGTTCACTCGTAGCTGCGCTGCCTGGAACGGGCCTGACACTCCACAGGTGTTGGAAGGCATGGGACAGACGGCAGCGTGTGGCACGTCCCGCCCAGATAGGTGCTGCCCTGGCTTGTCGAAGACCAGACCAAAGTGTGATGGTGAGGCCTTTTGGCCACTGCTCCAAATAGAGGAAGTGGGCCACCCCCAAGTGGCCTCTCCAGCCTGTCTGTGAAGCACACAGGCTGGCCCGGCACTAAGGCTAGACCAGCCCCACTGCTGGCTGTGGGTAGCTCCCCCTCGTTAGGAAGCTGCCCCTCTGGTTAAACCTGGGTCCTGTCATTCTCTCTTTCTCTCAGGTGGACGGCATCCTGAAAACCGTGCTCCGGGACGAGATCATCGCCTGGCACAAGAAAACGCAGGAGGACACCTCCTCTCCTCTCTCGGCCGCTGGGCAGCCCGAGAACATGGACAGCCAGCAGCTGGTCTCTCTGGTTCAGAAAGCTGTCACCGCCATCATGACCCGCCTGCACAACCTTGCCCAGTTTGAAGGCGGCGAGAGCAAAGTGAACACCCTGGTGGCCGCGGCAAACAGTCTGGACAACCTGTGCCGCATGGACCCTGCCTGGCACCCGTGGCTGTGACCGCGACAGCTCCCACCCAGAATGTGAAGGGCGCCTTGGGCTCCCAGCCCACTGGCTTTTATGACTTGCCGCGGCCTTGCTGGTAATTTTATGTACGAAAGTCCTGCCGTTTTCCTGGGTGGTTATTTTCCTGATAGCGTGTGTGTGAAAGAGGGAGAATTTAGTTTAGAGAGAGCCGAACTGTTGTGACTCAAGGCAAGGTAGCCAGAAACGGCAGAGCTGAAACTTCCTCCAAACTTTTAAAATAATCTTTTAAGAAACCCGGATTGTCTGGTGTGGAATCTGTGAATTCTTTTCTATGGCAGCCCTGCCGCCATGTGAATGTACAGACAGCTAGAACGGCAGCAGGCAGCTCCGGCCTGTCCGTTTTTAACTCTTTCAAAAAGAACACCTCACAGCAGCCTCGTGCTTTTGTACAGACCTTTGTAACCAGTGTACAGAAACCCACTTTGTTAGAGAAACAGGAAATTATGAACAAATCGTGCTGGCTTTTTTCTGAGCACAAACTTTTATGCTATATGTAAGTGGCGTTGGGGATCTTGAGTGTTTGACGCAGAGTGACCGGGCTGCCACCGCCTGGGGGAGCCGTTTCTTGTCCATTCGTGGTTTAGATTCAGCGGGGGGAACAGAACTGCAAGAGTTGGCGGGTGAATCTTGTGCTGTTTATTGCTGGTTCTTCGAATGTCTTCTAGACATTTACTGTCATTGTACCTGGAAAAAAAAATCACTTTTCTCTTCCTAATTTAAAAAGAAAAAGTAGCAATGAAACTTCAACTCCAGTCTTTCTGTTACGTTCACGTTTTTATAAAACTGAGCATTGAGAATGTTCTATCTAAATTTGTACAGTGTGTTTTTTTTTAGAATAAATATTTTATAAAAGGATTTGTTGTCCCTTATTTGTGTTAAAGTGCTTGTTTCTGTGAGGCGTTTCCTCTCCCTCGACGTCCCTGAATTGAAACGGACGTGCCTGTTGGGAAGCGCTGGGCTTCTTCACCTTTTACGTGACTCACAAGGACACGTCGGCAAGGTCCCCTCTCTGGGCCTCTGTGCCGGGCCCCTAACTCTTTCTTGCCTTCCCTTTGCCCCCTGTCATCCCAGGCTGCCACGGGGTGACGCCTGCAGCTGAGTATACTCAGATCTCACTGCAAAGTCAAGTCTCAGGGGCGTGACCAGATGTCCTCTGGGAAGCTTTAGGCCGTAGTTGTGTTGCTGGGTTATGACCTGGATACAAGCTCATTGCAGCGGGCAGTGCCGACAGCCGCAGTAGGAGGTCTATATGCTGGTCTCCAGCCTCAGCCCAGAAGGGCCACTCCCCACCTTACAGAGAAGAGATTTCCAGCTCAGAGAGGGTGAGTAGCTTGTCCAAGGCCCAGGGCCAGTGGAGAAGTGTTTTGACCCCATCCAGCATGACTCCAAGCCCCCAAGCTGCACCCTGGATCCCAGGTTAAGGCTGAGGGGCCAGGCTTTGCCCATCTGACTAGAGTCTCCTGTTTGTTCTTTGCAGCTAATTGTAAGTTATTTCCCATTTCCTTGGAGAGAGCTATCTGTGGACTCTGGAATGACAGGAGCTGTGCATCTAAAATGACGAGCAGTTGCGCTTTCAACTCCACGTGAATCCGGCAGTTAACTGGTGTCGTGCGGCCTCAGGCCTCAGTGGGGAAGGGGCCTCCCCATAGTCCTCACTGTGCGTGCAACACGGTAAGAGCCACTGTTTGGGCTGCCTTTGCGCTCTGGGAGAGCCTGGTGTGGTGCTGGTGGAGGTGCGTGGGTGGCAGTAAGGTGAGGGAACATTTGTCTCTTACCCTAGAGAGCTGGAGTCTGGAGCCGGTGCTGCCAGTGAGGAGGCGGCCCGGGTCTCCTGCCAGGTTCACCCACACAGCGGCTCGGCTCCTGCCCTTGGGTGTCGGGAAGCCAACCTTTGAACGGCTGGAGCAGGAGACAGTCCCCCCCAGTGAAGATCCAGCATCTTCTGAGCTCCAGCTCAAAGACCTGGAGTCAGGGGACCTTGAGCCAGCACCTTGGTGACCACGCACCCCAGCTTCCTCACCCCAGCACAGCGTTGCTGGAGTGGGGCCCCCAGGAGGCTGCGGCTCCAGAGCTGGGGCAAGTCTGGGACGGGGCTCATTTATGGGGCTGCTCACATCACATGCCCTGATTCTCTAAACACCATTTCACGGTAAGTGCTGTTATTAGATGTGTTTTTATTGTGACAAAATACCTGTAACAAAATTTATCATTTTCATCGATTTTAAGTGCACTGTTCAGTGCATTAAGCACATTCACATTGTTGTGCAACCGTCACCACCATGCACCTCCAGAACTTTCCCATCTTCTCAAACTGATACTCTGTTCCCATTAAACATGCCACATTTTCCTTCCCCCAGCACCTGGCACCCACCCTTCTTTCTGTGAATCTTACTATGCTCCTCTTCTGAGTGAAATCCACAATCATACAATGTAAGTTGAATCCTTCGTGTCTGGCCTTGCTTCACTTAGCAGAGTCCTCAAGGTTCATCCGTGTTGCAGCATGTGTCAGAATTTTCTTCCTTTTTAGGGCTGAATTATATGCTGCTGTATATATACTACATTTTGTTCATTTATTCATTCGTTGATGGATTGCTTCTGTCTTTTGTCCACTGGGAGTAATGCTATTGTGAACACAGGTGTACAAATTTGTTCAAGTTCCTGCTTTCAGTTCTTTTTTTAAAAAATATTTATTTATTTATTTGCTTTTAATTCTTTTTTTGTTAGGGTCAGAGTCTCACTGCCACCCAGGCTGGAGTACAGTGACACAATCATAGCTCAGTGCAACTTCCAACTCCTGGCCTTAAGTGATCCTCCTGCCTCAGTCTCCCGAGTAGCTGGGATTACAGGTATGCACCACTGTGCCTGGCTAATTTTGTAGAATTTTTTGTAGAGCATCTCTGTGTTGCCCAGACTGGTCTCAAACTCCTGGCCTCAGCCAGGATCCTCCCACCTCAGCTCCCAAAGTGCTGGGATTACAGGTGTGAGCCACCGTGCCTGGCCCTGCTTTCAGTTCTTTCGGGCATGTACCCAGAAGTAGAATTGCTGGATCATATAGTAATCCTATTTTTAATTTTTTGAGGCACTGCCATAATGTTTTCAATAACAGCTGCACCATTTTACACCAGCAGTATATGATGTTTCCAATTTTTGTACAATGTTGTCAACACTTGCTATTTCTGTTTTTTGTTTTTCGTAACAGCCATCCTAATGAGTGTGAAGTTGTATCTCATTGTGGTTTTGATTTGCATTTTCCTTATGATTAGTGATGTTGAGCAAATTTTAATGTTGTATATCTTCTTTGGAGAAATGTCTATTTAAGTCCTTTGCCTATTTTTGAATTGGGCTGTTTTTGTTGTTGAGTTCTTTATATAGTCTGGGTATTAATCCCTTACAGATGTACGATTTGCAAATGTTTTTCCTATTCCGTAGATTGCCTTTTCACTCTGTTGATAGTGTCTTTTCATGTGCAAAAGTTTTTAATTTTGATATTCAATTTATCTATTTTTTTCTTTTGTTGCCTGCATTTTTGGTGTAGTATCAAAAAATTATTGCCAAATCCAATGTAATGAAGCTTTTCCTCTGTGTTTTCCTCTAGCAGTTTTATTAGGGTTCTAGCACTTGTGTTTAGGTCTTTGATTCATTTCGATTTAATTTACATAGTATAAGCTAAGGGTCCAACTTCTTTTGCTTGTGGATCTCCAGTTTTCCCAGCACAGCACCATTTGTTATAAAGACTGTCCTGTTGAAAAGGGTCTTGGGACTGTTATCAAAATTCAGTCGGCTGTACACAGTATGTGAGAGTTTATGCCTGGGCTTTCTGTTCTAGTCCATTGGTCTTTATGTCTTTATGCCAGCACCACACTGTTTTGCTTACTATAGCTTTGTAGTTAAGTTTTGAAATCAGAATGCATGAGTCCTTCAACTTCGTTCTTCTTTTTCAACATTGTTTTGGCTGCTTGGGGTCCCTTGCAATTCCATATGCATCTGAGGGTGTGTTTCTTGTTTCTGCCAAAATATTGGGATTTTGATGGTGATTGTATTGAATCAATGTATAGATCACTTTGGGTAGTAATGACATCTTAACAATATTAAGTCTTCCATAAAAATGGGGTATCTTTCCATTGACTTGTGTCGTCTTTAACTTCTTTAAGCAACAGTTTAGTTTTCAGGATGCAAATATTTTGCTTCATTGGTTAAGCTTATTCCTAAGTATTTTATTCTTTTTAGTGCTACTGTAAATGGAAATGTTTTCTTAATTTCCTCACTGGATCATTCCTTGTTAGTATATAGAAACCCAATTATTTGTGTGTTGATTTTGTATCCTACAACTTTATTGAATTTGTTTATTCTAATGGTTTCTTTATGCTTTCTTTAGACTTTTCTATAAACATGTTATCTGCAAACAGATAATTTTACTTCTTCCTTTCCAATTCGGATGCTTCCCCACTCCCTTGCCTAATTGTTCTGGCTAGAACTTCCACCACTGTGTTGAGAAGTGGCAAAAATGGGGCACCCTTGTCTTAATTCCTGGTATTAGAGGAAACTCCTGGTTTCCTCTTTCACCACTGAGTAGGATGTTACTGTGGATTTTACATATTGGCCTCTATTAGGTTGAGGTAGTTTCCTTCTGTTCCCAGTTTGCTGAGTGTTTTTATCTGAAAGGGTGCTGAATTTTTTCAAATGCTTTTTCTGTATCAATTGAGATGTTCTGTGGTTTTCCCCTTCGTTCTGTTAATGTGGTGTGTTACATTGATAGATTTTCATTGTTTGGGCCATCCTCATGCATCCCAGGAATAAATCCCAATTTGTCGTGGTATATAAACCTTTTAATATGCTATTGAATTTGGTTTGCTAGTATTCTGTTGAAAATCTGTGCGTCAATATTCGTAAGGGATATTAGTCTGTAGTTTTCTTCTCTTTTGGTGTCTTTGTCTGACTTTGGTATCAGGGAAATGTCCAAGGTCAAGTTACAGGGCCAGGGCTGGATCCCAGGTCCTAGCTATGTTCTCAACAATATCCTGCCTCTTGAGGACATAGACACAGGAAACAAAAGATGTACACATACGTATCTGTATATGAGCGTGAGGTAAAATGTGGAAGACAGTAAGAAGCCAGGACAAAGTCAGATGAAAATGAATTCTGCCAACAACCTGGAGGAGCCTGCAAGAAGATTCTTACCTGGTTGAGCCTTGAGATGTGAATACAGTCTGGCTGACACCTTGATTGCAGCCTTGTGAGACCCCGAGCAGAGGATCCAAATAAACTGTGAAATAAAGGTGTATACACTCTGCATGTCTAGGGAAAGACGCAGGCTCAGAGAAAACCTGAGACAACTTTAAGCTTTCGCCTCAAGCTGATCAGAGATACCCTTAAGAGTCAGTTAAGATACCCTTAACGCTGGGCAAAGAGGAGAATCTTAATTTCTAGAGTTATATTATAAGATTCAAATGTTCAGTTTTGAACAACAAAAAACCCACAAGGCATACAAAGAAATAGGAAAGTATGGCACATTCAAAGAAACAAATCAACAGAAACCATCATTGAAGAAGCCCTCACAGCAGATTTACTGGACAAAGACTTTAAAACAACTATTTGAAAGATGCTGAAGGAGCTAAAGGAAGACACAAAGACAGGAAAACAATATATGAATAAAATGAGAATATCAATAAATTATCAAAGGAAACAAATTCTGAAGCTGGAAAATACAATAACTGAAATAAAAAATTCCCTAGAGTGCTTCAAAAGCATATTGAAGCAGGCAGAATGAAGAAGACTCAATGAACTTGAAGGTAGGGGCTGTTAAAACTATTGAATCTGTGGAACAAAAAGAAAAAAAACCAAGACAAGTAAACAAAAACCTAAGGGACCTGTGGAATCCCGTCAGTCAGACCAATACGTGCATTGTTGGAATCGCAAATGGAGGAGAGACAACGGCAGAAAGTATACTTAGAATGACAGAAAACCTCTTAAATTTGATGAAAGACATGAATAGGCAAATTCATAGAGACAGAAAGTAGAATGGAGTTACCAAAGGCTTGGGGAAATGGGAAGAGGAAGCTATTGGTTAATGGGTACAGCGTTTATTTGGGGATGATGAAAATGTTTTTGGTACAGACAGTGGGGATGGTCACACAACACTGTGGGTGTATTTAATGCCACCAAATTGTACACTTAGTGGTTAAATTCATGATATTATGTATACAGTCATCCCTCAGTATCATGGAGGACTTTTTCCAGGACCTCCTATGGATACCAAAATCCATAGATGCTCAAGTCCCTGATATAAAATGGTGTAGTATTTGCATACAACTACGCACGTCCTCTGTATACTGTAAATCACCCCTAGTTACTTATAAAACCTAATACAACATAAATGCTATATAAATTGCTGTTGAACTGTATTTTTCAGGGAGTAATGACAAGAAAAAAGTCAATACATGTTCAGTACACACATAACCATCCATTTCTTTTTTAATATTTTTGGTTCTTTGTTGGATCCATGGATGCAGAACCCATGGATATGGAGAGCTGACTGTATTTTTACTATAAAATATTTTTTAAAAACCCTCAAACCAACAAATATGACTAATGTGCAAAGAGAAGTCAACAAATTCTAAACTTTTCAATCCCACAAGTTACTGCTTGGTAGAGCACTTTCTGCTGACTACCATATTCCCAATACTTTCCATTAACAATTCTGTCCTTAACTTCGTCCTTTTTCCTCAGACGGCCCCTGCCAGTATTTCTAACCATTGACTTCCTCTCTTGTGGGATTGTAAAGAAACTGGAATCTCATTTCCACACCAAAATAACAGACACCAGAAATGTAAAGTCGTGAGTTTATTGCATATGTAACAAAATGAACCTGACCTCCCGGGTCCAGCCTGCTGTACAATCACTGTTTGTTTTGTGTTTCCAGCTGGTTCCATAACCACGTTAAATAGAACTAGTATTTCTTTAAATACTTTTGATTTTGACATAAAACAGAACATTAGTGTACAACTTTCACAAAATAAATCAGCAATAAAAACAGTGGGAAGAATAACAAGGATAGCAGCAATACTTAAAAACAAGACATTACAAAATAAATTAAAAAATACATTATAAAGTGGTTGAGAAACAAAAATAAACAAATTTTAAAAATTCATACTATGTTTCGGGAAGGCTGCCGTGCGGCACACACCTGGCTGCAGGTGGGAAGGGGGTGGCGTCTTCTCTGTAGAAGGCCATTCCTATCATGTCAGATTTGCCGACCGCCTAGCCTGAATTTGGACCACAAGGCTGAACAAGCTGAGGGGTCAAAACTCCATCTGGTGGCAGATCCTCCTTCAGAACTCAGGAGAGCTGTTCCCCGTCACCCCGCGCACCCCAGGCAGCCCTGGCTTTTCCTACGGAAGCACTGGCAGAGGGGTGGTTTGCTACGTCCCTGAGTGTCGGCTGGTGACCGCTGGTGAGGACAAGCCTGCAAAGTCGCGCCCCTGAAGCAACGAGGCAGAGGGGCAAGGGGGAGTGGGTGGGTTGTCTGAGACCACTGAGAGGGGCGACCAACGAGATCACGCATGAAGGGGCTTCACGCAGACCCAAAGTGGAGCAGACAGGAGCTTTGACCGTTTGCTTGCCACCTTGTGTTCTTTGGGGTGGTTTAAAAAGACCAAACCATTATAGGTATTTAAGGTTCTGGAAGTGCAATGCCACCGACAGAGAGGCCTGTTTGGGAAGAGTGAACTGGAGCTCTGAAAAGGTCTGTGACACTCACACAGCTATGGCGGTGCCCAAGAAGGGGGCGGCAAACCCACACGCAAGTGCAAGTAGAAAAGCAGAGACGAGGCCCGTGCAGGACAGGGACTCGTGTGTCTGCCAGGCCAGAGAGGAGGCCCCTCTTGGCGGAAGCGGCACCAACCGGCATAGGGCTGGTGGATGTGGCTTCTAAGGCTCACCCCCTACTCCTCCCAACAGCAAGAAGGTAGTTTTAAAGGCGTCAAATGCAACATTCCTGCTTCAAAGTCTTTTAAGCCACGAGACCCTGGTTTCCTTCCTAATTACCGCAGATCTGGGGCGACACCATCAGGCGGCGCCTCCGAGTCAGTTCTCTGATAGCTCTTTTCTGCCTCCCACGGTTTAGGCTCATGTTAGGGAGCAGACTCTCTGGAGGAGGTCTGGAATTTTCATTTCCTCACCTTCAAGAGGAAGATTAAGGGAAGACTGGATAGACTCACTGGGGAACCAGTTTCTAGAACACCCTCAGAAAGCATCGTCGTGAGTGACACACGGGATAAGCCCGGGGCAAGTTAGAGTTTGTGGAAGAGACTGAGCCTACAATTTGGCCTGGATGTTTTGAGTGGATTAAACTTTCCTCCTGCAGCAAGTCCCACTTGGCATCCCTTCTATTCTAGCTCAGCAGCCCAGAGGTGCGGCCCTCTAGCGGCTCTTGGAGCCGAGGGCACAGCAAACGGGCCAGACCTCTCGTTCGGGGGAGAGTCTCTGACCTACAGCACCGAGCAGCCCCACATCAGACCACAAACCGCTTCTGGGGCAGGGAAAGGAGCCACAGCAGGATGCAGGAGGGCAAGTGTCCCTCCAAAGCCACCACCTCGGTCTACAGGTAACAGTAACAAAAAAGAACAGATAAAACAGTCGTCCAAAAGGTCCTTCCTAGGCCACCTCAGACCCACAGCTGGAGCCCAATGCTTAACTCCGAGACTTCGACAGCAGTGAAATGTCTTGCTAGAGGATTACCCTGTACTCACCCCCACCCCCGAACAAAACAACAAAGAAACCATACAGGAAAAGTTGTTGCTGCTGCTGTTTTTCGCTGAAATTTAGCTATCTGAAATCAAGCCACTTTGTTTAAGATAAAATACTGTTTGAACTTTTGTGCAAATTCGAAATGGTGTTAGAAACTTCGAGTCTAGGCTTGCTTTGGCCTTGCTCGTCATACAAAGACATCTGGGCAAGTGAATCGAATAGCAGTTGTTAGTGTCGCCATCTGCCACTGGGGGAAGGGCCAAATGAGTCAGTGTGGAGTTGTCCCCTCTGTGGCCACAGGTTTGCATCCACGCCCATTTTATAAAACAAGAACACTTTGGGTGGATTTATGTCATCAAGGTCACCCTTTCCCCCTTGCTTTTAAGCTAGTCCACACCAAGGCAACAGCTATGATAACAGGATTTTGTTTTGTTAGTTTAGCTCTCAGCAATTACCACATCATAGTTTGTTAATATTTTTAAGTGACACAGTCAATGTTCCTCTGCATACAACGGTGGCACAGGAGTCACAGCTTTGGGACTGACTGGTTGGCTCTGGGGCTAATTTGGGTCTGTTCTTTTATAAGCTCTGTTAAGTGGTGTTTTATCTGGAAAAATGTCAGATAATGCAGCAAAAGGGACCCTTGAAAGATCATTTTTCTTTGTGCAAAACAAAATTTTCAGCCAGGATACCCTGAAAAAAAAAAAAAAATACCCTGGGCCCCCAGTGAAAGCTGCTCCAATTCTTTCACCTTTCAAAGGGGAAACACGTTTTGACTCAAGCTTCCTGCTGTGGCAGAATTCCAATAAGCACGTATTATACAGTTATTGTTCAGTTAGAAATCAGTCTGCTGCCCAGAACAGGCTTTGAGGATATGAAATTTGTAATCTGAGCTCTGGTAAGATTTCCAGCAGCTGCTGAATGTGGAAAGGGGCTTCAAGGCCATTTGAGATGGAACAACTGGTATCGCTGCCAGGTCCAAGCCCTCAGGAAGCCTAGCTCAGTCCCCTAACTGTGGGGGTTGATGCTCCTGTAAAGCGGACAGGGCTGCGAGCCTTATCACCACGTGGCTACAACCACCGCAGAACATCCTGTGTGACCGAGGCCAAAGGCTAAACCTGGCTGTATTTTATTGGATGGGTGATGGAAGGGGGTTGGGAGTACTATAATAAAGGAGGGATATATGGGTGGGAGCCACCAACGAAAGTCTCCTGTCCCCCTCCCCCAACGAAAAGGAGGGAGACAACTCTTTTCCCTCAGGTGATCCGGAATTCCAGGGCCTCAGCCAGCTTTGCGGGAGGCACGCAGAAGCTGGATGCTTTTGGTCTGGTGGTCGTGAGCTAGACTCTGTTGCCTTTGGTTGCTCTTCACTCCACAGCAAACCCACAGGTCTCCTCCACGGCTGTCAGCAGCTTCTCGTAGAGCTTCTCATAGGATTCATAAGGTGGGATGTCGATCCGGTTAAAGCTGGAGAAGGACAAAGGAGCCAGAGTCAGTCCAGCCCTAGGACTGGCAGCTAGCAGTTCAGGGGGGAGGTGCGTGGATGAGGGGCAATGAGAGGGGTAGCATCTAAGCAGCTCCTCGCCCGGTTTGCGGGGCAGGGGATGGAAGTGAGTCTTCCACTTTCCCGCTGCTCTTCTGCCTCTAATGCAAAGAGTTTTCAATCAACACACAGCAAAATAAATCTTAAGACCTTCAAAACCAAAATAGGACCAAATTACCATTTACTGCTTATATTAGGACAAAGCTGTCAACTTGTTTGTCTTCAGGAGAAATTATTAAATACTCCTCTGTACCAGGAATACCCCCTTGACAGACTCCTGGGATCCAGGCTGGCCATCAGTCAAGTCAACACTAACGACTGTGTATCTGTCTATTCCTCTGGGATTTGATCTGAGACCGAAATGAGGCAGTCTGGAAAATTCCCTGCAAAAACAAGCTAGATCTTAAAACTAAGACAATGTCAGGTCTTTGAAAGATGAAATGAATACTAAACTTCTGACTCAACATTTCCATGGGGAAATTCATTTCCAGTATTTACGCAAAGAAAAAGATATCCTTTAGGAAGCTATTATCTTACAACAAATCAAGAAATGCAAACTTGTGACCCAGAGGACATTTCGTAGCCTCCTGAATGACGGGGGTAAGCAACTGAGGATGGTTTGTGTCGAGAAAGAGCTGGGTTTGACCAGGCGCTCTTCTTCTGGAGCTTTAGCATCGGAGGATATTTTTCATACCGATCTTATGCCCAGCACTAAACTATTAAATGACAAAAGCGTTATGAGAAGGACCACAGTCACCATGTGTCAGCGTGGCAGGTTCCTGTAACAGACACCACAGCCACGCCCAGGACACCCGATTCACAGGTGTGGAAAACCAAGTTAGAAGTGTCAGAGCCAGCACTGAACCCACACCCCTGGGTCCCAAGTCAGGAACCTTCTATCGCATCGTGTCGCATCTCGGTGACATTTGGAACCGGTTCTCCTGGAGTAGACGTGGCTACTCTTCTCCACAAATGGTTCTGAGACAAAGTGTATGTAGGTGATTGGATTTTTAAACCATAAAGGAAATAATCCTCTATGGATATTAATTTTTAAGTTAAAATTTAGGGAAAAAAACATTTTTCAATGGACAAGGTGCATCTGTCACAGGCAAAGTTCCCAGAAGGAAGAGGGGGACCCAGAAACGTCAGATAAAGTAAAGACCGATAAATCCCGACTACAACTGTGTAACTTTCCCTACCGACGGGTGTACATGCCCACGCATCTATGCACCAAGATGCAGCAAAGACGTGAGCTTGGCGTGGTAGCCACAGGCTGTTGCTGAAACACCAACACTAATTAATTACACAACTCACAACAAAATGAGTTTCATAAAAGACACTTCTGATACCCCTCCTCTCTGGCACACTGCCAAGTGTTTGCCCCATTGACACAAGTGCTATTGCTGGTCATTACCTGGGATTTTGCATGAATGAAACTGCACGTAAAGTCCTACAAATAAGAAAATAGCTTTAAAAAATAACATGAACGACCCCATGCTCCGGAGACACGCTCTCAGGACTCGGCGACTCAGCAGCACGGTTCTTACCAGGTGTGGGCTTTCGGAAGGTTGTCTGTGTTCGCGTCTATGAGGTGGATGGTGAATAACCGGGGCCCTGCCGCGCCTGTAGAACCTTACAAGACAACATTCTAGTTAATGCACTTCAGAGCCAAAGCCATGGGGCTTTCCAGCCACACAGCTCCCATAAGCCACGGTCCCTCTGGACCACATTCTCAGGCCCGACGCCCAGGCAGGCGTCTTGCCAGAGGGCAGTGGAGTTCACGTGCCCAGTTTTAGGATATGTCTGTAATGGCCATCAAGGGACAAAATTATTTGTACCCACCCTTTGGACTAGAGGACTTACAGTCACCCGGCTGGCTGCAAAGACGGTGCCAACCCTGGCCCCGCCCTGCCTGCCGGCTGAGGGCTGCAGGACACAGGACAAGGTGGGTTGCAGAGGCTGCTGGCCTCTGTCTTGCTGATATTTGCTCCTGCACTTTTACAGATGTTCCTTTCGACTAGGGCACAGGTCAGCAGTAGGACTGGAGGCCAGGAGAGATGATGGCAAGCAGAGACCACCATCTTTGTGGAGCAGAGAGGGTCTCTGGCCACTGGAAGGTGAGTCCAGCCCCCTCGGCCCTGGGCAGCTGGATGGGGAGTAGGGAGAAGCAGCTCCTCCCTCTCAGGCCACACTCTGAGCCCCGTCTCCTGGAGAGACATTCTGCTGGGCCCTGGCCGCCTGGTGCGTATCCCTGCACTTAGATTTCTTGGAATCAAGGAACCAGTCTCCCGCCCCGCAGTAGCCAGTCCCTTTCCTGTCAGGTGACCCCTGGTCACATCTGACCCCTCGTCTGGGCTGACCTACCTCCTAGAGACTACAGGGACACTTAGCCACTGTCTGTCCAATTGTGGATGATGTTGCCAAGATATTGCTAAGATCCTGAGTCACGGGTGTTTTCTAAACAGGAATGTTTAGCAAGAGGGCCACTGTGGGAAAGACGGTGTGATGTCATCAGACAAGCGAGACTCAGAGTCACAAGACTTGGATCCCTGCCCTGGCTCTCTGCTCACCACCCTACTGTTTCTTCCTGGGGGCGGGGGCAGCGGGGGGAATAAATCCTGCGACCTCAGTGAGTCTCAGTTTCTTCATCCATGTCATGGAGAGAATAATCCCTGCTCAGACAGGTGCTCTGGGCTGGAGAATGAACGAGAAAGGGCCCTGGGAGCAGCTGGAGTTGCCAAGCTGGCCCAGCAGACGGAGCTCCCATGTACAGGCGGGGAGGTTCTCATCTAGAACCCTCTGTGATGCCTGCAGAGCCCCCTGCAGAAATCCCACAGGCAGAGGTCACTATGGAAAAGACACAAGTAAGTACCCTCAAGACCAAAGCCAAGTGAAATGGGATTAACCTCCTTTTGTCCAACAAGGTTCTCGAGAGCCAGAGGCAACATTCTGCATTTGCAACATATCTGTACGTCTCATAGCATCTAAAGCTGACCATGTTAACACTCTTCACCTTGCTCCTTCCAGCTATCAGCAACACTCCTCAGTGCAAGAGATGACATGTTAGGCCGCCTACCTAACTTGTCCCTGACAGGCAGTTTGGGACCTTTCCTGTGGAATTCCATCCCACGTACAGTGACATCAGTGGCTTAAACAGAGTGAGTATGACATCCTCCTTCAGTGGCTCATGGCTAAGCAGGAGTTTATCTGCAGCTTCAAGCTCTGGAGACACCGAGACTGGGGTGGCCACCCACAACCCTCCACCTAGGTCTTGGGTCCAAGCTGGCATCACAGAGGTGCATGGTGACGGCCTCGCCAGACACCAAAGGCCCCTGCTGGTCAAACCGTCTTGGCTTTTTGAAAGTAGTGACGAGGTGGGAACCCACGTGCCCAGGAGTGGCTCCACGATCTCTGCTCAGTGGGGCCTCCGCACCTGCTGCGGGCCCCTCTGCAGTGCTGAGCGTTTGTTCACGTCGTTTTCTAGTGGATGTTTCAGAAACACATCCCAGCCACCTTCCTGCCCCAGCCTAGCACAGAACATGCCCAGTGCAGACCCGTAATCTAATGGCCCTGCCTCCACATCAGTCACCTTGCAAAGCCTTGAAGCCCTGGAGAGGGACTCTTGTGGACCCAGTCACAAACTGCAGGAGCCGGGCCCTCCTTTCTTCATCAAACGTCTCCACCGCTTGCCAGAACCACCTGACGATGTTGCTGTCGGCCACACAGTGCTTCAGCCGCGTATTCGACTTCCAGTCGTTCAGGTCGATTTTATCCAGGCCGCCTATTATCAACTGAGAAGGTGACGAAAGACGAGTTACTTCCAGAATGCATAAGCCAACGTCACGCCATGCCTCCTGGGTTCCCGCTATACCACAGGAGTTAAAAACTTTGTTTCCAAGCAAAGCAGCAGCTATGTCCAAGTAAGCTAGACAGATGCTGACAGGGGAGGAAGCTATAAATTTACCATGCCTCCTCCAGGCTGGTCTTCAACCAAGGCTGCGGGGTACAGCTGCCGATACAACACTATCTTATAAGCAAAGTTGGGGTGTTTGTCTGCACTGCAGAGGAGGGAGGATCAAAGAACCAACCGGCAAGACTGAACAGAGCTAACCACAAAGGGCACGGTGGCCTCTCTGAGACACTCGAGGACAGGTGGAGTTTCAAGTCTGGGGTTAGGACAGATGGTGTTTCTGCAACTTGGGGGAAAAGTATACCCAAAACTACCGCTCCATCCGAGGGAGCTTGCCTTGGCCTGCAAGCTCTTGGCGTCTCACTGGTAGCAGAAAGCCTACAAGAACAATCTGGAAGGCTGAGCTTTTAGTACCAGACAGCGATGGCTGAGGGATGAATGAATCACTATGTTCGAGTACACGAAGTCTGACTAGAGAAGACAATAACACTTTGTTCTTAGTCTAGTACTAACCAAAATAAAAACAAAGCGTTGACACTGTGGGAGAACTTGGTTATATATGAGATAATTCCCCTGATCAGAGACTACACAGGAGCGGGCTATGGACTGTCCCCCGCTGGACAGCCTGGAACAGGAGAGGCCACAAACACCAGGAACAACTTCCCGAGAGTGGTTCGGGCTTACTGCCGCCGAGTGGACAATGCCCCTGCCCTTCCCTGTGTTCTGGGAACCCTGGCAGGCTCCCGGGCCTACCGGGGAGAGCACAAGCCTCACTCTGCAGCCAGGATTGAGAACAGCAAATGCTAGCCACATCGGAACCCTCGAATGCCCTTTGACTCTTCACACCACGCACGTACCTCTAATTCCTTCTGGTCAAAAGGCTTCAGGAGGTGCTGAGGAATGAGTTCGTTGAACCCTTTCTGAAGGGCTAAGAACTGGGCTTCGATTCCTCTCATAAACCTCCAGTTTACATACAACCTGAAAGAAAAACTCGCAGGTTGGAAGCAGTACCACATGGATTTCCCCCCATTAGCAGGTTCTGATATCACAATCCAACAAACGTGGGAACGTGACACAGACGGACCTGCGGAGCAGACACCTACTGGGCCCCTCCAGACCTCCCCGCCGCAGGCAAAACCCACTAGCTGGCGGTGCCGAGCCTTAGTGTCGAGTAAAAAATGAACCAGAATATGCCCTGTGCTTTCTGATTCTTTACTGAAAACAGCAGTAAAGAACTTAGTGGAAAACAGCGAGCTTTAACCTGTTACAGCAACTGCCATAGTTTGAAAGGACCACGCGGGACGGCGTGAGACCGTGCGCCAGTCCGAGCACAGACGTGCCCTCGTGCTCCTCAACTGCACCTAATCCCCAGTGTGGAATCGCCTCGAGTACAAGGTGGCAAAGAGACTGGGAGGAGTGTCCTCGACCGAGCCCAAGGACCCTCCTGGCTGCTGTCTCCTGTGCTCCCCGTCTCTGCACTCAGAATCCGGTGGTCACTTGAAAGTCCCTCCCTCGCCTGGGTTCTGTCCCTTTGACAGGCCAGCCCTGGACTTGTCAGGGCCCCCAGCAGTGCCTCCGCTGTTATTGCTGAACCTGACGGTTTCCGAAAGTCACCTCCATTAATGAGACTCAGTCACAAGTGTTGTCAGGGACAGGGAGGCTTCACACAGCAAAGGAGCTACGAGAATCTAAACCTGACAAAGCAGTACCAAGGATGGCCCCAGGCACATGGCTGTTCCCCACCAGCGACCCCTGAGGCTGCCCAGGACATTACCGGACATATTCTTTCTTGTTCTCCTCTGTGACGGGAACATTTCTACCATTGGGTTTCAGTTCGTGCTGAAGGATGCGCCCGAAAGCGTTGTGCTCCACGCAGAACGTGTGGTCCAGCACGGGGGTGATGTCGTTCTCTCTGTGAAAGGAGAGCAGAAGACAAGGCCAGTTAGACCTGTGCCACCACCCAGCAACGAAGGGAACGTTACGTGGCACGGTCAGGCGGGGAGAAGGGGAGAGACAGTGTTTACCGACTGCCAGACCCAAGGCTGTGAGGGGAGAAGAGGACACCTTGGTGTACTCAGAGCCCACTTGGGGGCGGGACAGCGCCTGGGACTGGGAGGGGCTGGGAGACAGCTCTGCTCCAGATGTCCCCCGCTCTTGGCTTTCTCACTCACAGGAGGGTGACAGTCACTCTACCCTTCTGTGGTTTTATGAGACGCGCAACCCACTTGCTTTGTAAGCCGAGGCAGGGAGCAGGAGGAGGAAATGTGGACGAGGCAGCGAAGTCAAAGGGAAAAGGGAAACAACTGAGAGAGCCGCGCCAAGGAAACACTGCCTCCCCCCAAGGCAGCCTTTCAGACGCATCGGGTCGAACACAAAAGCCCCTGAAACTGGCTCTTTAATCTGCTGTTTTTCTGGAAACATAGGCAGAGTGAAAGGTTTTCTATCCCGTGAAGGCCCCGACTCCCTGCACTGGAACATGTGAACTCGGGGCCCAGCTGCAGGCCCCCGCTCGGCTCTGCTCTTCCGCGCCCCCTCCCCTCGCCACAGCGGGATCGTGCTTCGCTGTGCAGTCGGCTCTTTCACAAGGACCTGTGACACCCCTGGTGCGTCTCGTCCCTGTGCCTACTGCTTTTGAAAGACCTCTGTTTAGGATAATTCTAGAGCAAATGTAACTAAATATTGTTTTGATACTTTCTTGGCCCCTCTATAGATTAGCTGGAGACACTCTAGAATCTCTCTCTCTCACACGCACACCCCTGCCAGGCCTCGGGATCAGCCTGTTAACGTTTGTGATCTTACCTCAGTGATTCAAGGAAATAACTATAGAAATTGGCCAAATGTCATGAGAAAAAGTAAGTCAAAATTAAGTATTTTTTTGTTAAATCTGCTTTTTTGTTTCTGGTAATAATATAATGGTCTCTTTATTTCTCACCCATCCCCAACAAACCACAAACGTAGCGGACTTGCACTGAGACAGGCGACTACATGCGCATTTCCAGTGGACTGAGCCGTGCGTCGATACTTACAGAATCCACACTAAGCTCTTATGTAGCTCTGGGTCCACCGATTCCAAGTCCGAGAGTTGGATGGGCTTCCCCAGCAGCTGCTTGTAGAAGGGCACCGTGAAGCCCCCATTGATGTAGTGTCCATGGAACACAGCCAGGCCCATGATGCGACCCACGAAGTGGAAGTAAGACAAGTGGTCCTGTAGGCGGCACCAGAGAACACGAGTTCGTTAGAAAGGGGCCCGGCCAACGCAACGTCTTGTGCTTTCTCCGAGCTCCTTGCAGAGCTGTCCCTGTCCCAGAGCCAGCCAGACACTGACTCAGTTTCCTATAGGCTCTTCTCATGACCAGATGGAAGACGGCTGCTTGGGCCATCAAAAATTAGCTGGACAGCAGTTTGCATGCTCTTGGGTCTAGCACCTTCTCCTCAGAACTGCTGGAAAACTTGCTGGGCCCAGTACAAAATGAAAATGTGGAGCCCTTTGTTCAAAAATGATTGAGAAATTCAACCCCATGACAGCAGAGACAAATGGAGCACGGGGGCCTTCGCAGCAGCGAGGCCTTGTGCCCTGTGCAGATTGCACGCCCAGGAAGATGGCTTGTTTTTCCTTCCCTTTACGCCCAAAAGAAAAGGGCAGTTCCCCTCCTTCCTCCCCTTCCCTCCCAATCACCATCCCACAAGAAAGAGAAGAAATCCTAAGGGAGGATAGGCAAGGAACACAGAGGAAATAAGCAAAGGAACCATCCTAGAACCAGAGCTGTTCTGGTTTTCAGCTAGGGAGCCCCACGTTTCTACTTTCAGGTTTGAATTATAATCATCTCAGAAAACTAGCCAAGACTTCGCCACTTCCATGGTGGTAACAGGTTCTTTCACATTTGAATGTTCAATAGACCTTGTCCCCGACTTCCCCTTGGTGGCCCTGTACACAGCACTGAGGATGGACATGGCCCCACCCAGGAGTCCTCTGCTGGCCAGCTGCCACCGTTGCACTTACTTCCTCACCTCTAAAACAAGCATGCTAAGGATGTCAGCATTTGTGGCTTAAAAAGCCAATTATGGAAATATTCCGATTTTGACTAGGAAGGGGATGGACTTTGTAATAACCCACTTCTCAGAATGACACCTTAACAGATAACAGCCATCATACCAGAGTTCTCTCAGACAGCAAGAAAGTGTTCTGAGCGAGTGAACAGCTCAGTCTCACCCTATCCTCCTTCAAAACAACATCCTCAATGACCCCGACACTAACATGCAGGATGGGAATCCCCCATCCTCACTCTACCTTTCAATGTTTTACTTACCATTGTCTTTGATTAAGTCTACAATGAATAAACCAAGAATTGGGACTGAAACTGAAAATCCATCTTAAAAACTCTCCAACTCAATCCCCTACCTCTATTCATTCATACTTACAGGGTTGATTGAAGAATCTGGATTGATCTGCAACATGTAAATATTGTCCGTAGAATACTGGAAGAGTCCATAATACGGATTCAACATCTCATGGCACAGCAAATAAAGCCACTCCCTAGGAAGAACAAAAATGTCTCAAATTTCTAGTTCTAGATCTTAACAGCACTGATTCATTATGCTTTCAAAGGCCAAACTAGTACAAAGTGAGATGATGAGCCAATTGGTCAGGGCACCTGGTCTGAGAGGATGCATTGTACAGGTTGGGAAAGCAAGACTAATGAATTGCAGTGTCCGGAAGAGCACCCAGAAGCAACTCACGAATACCCAATTCTTATTCCTCACCACAAAATGACCACAACTCCAACGACACATCTGCAGCTGAGAACGAACTAGAATTAGTGCAACCATGGAAGGCAGTGTTCTCCGCAGTTCACTTCTCAGCTTCCCTGCACCACACCTAAGGTTTTCTCTGATACTTCGCAAAGATCGAAATTGTATGATTCAGATGTCATGATCAAAATCTCAAGTGGTGATGTTAATGATGTTGTATTAACTGGCAAAAGTGCAATTAAAAAGTAGTTTGATCCCACTTTAACAGTAGGTAACTTGAGTATTAGGATTGGATTCTGGGTCATTTTCCTTGTTCTTTTGCTATTTTCCAGTTTCTAAATTTAAATTTTAGTTTTTAAATTTTTAAGTTTTAAATTTTTCAAGCAAAAAGAAAACATTTCAAAGTCTAGGGAGGTAGAAGAGTGGTTATTTAAGAATGACTTTTGGGGCAACAGAGCAAGACCCTGTCCCCCACACAAAAAAAGAATGACTTTTGCCCTTTATAATTTTCTGTCAAATTCTTTTTTTTTTTTTTTTTTACCACAAACACTTATCACTTTAATAATTTTACAGTTTAAATCTCAAAAACATTAACTCTAAGAGTTTTAAAATCTGGATGGTATATGTGAGTATGAGTTATATTATTTTCTGAATTCCTTTTATGTTTGAATCATTTTATTATTTAAAAAAAATCCAAAATCAAAACCAGTCTAACAAAAAAAGCACTTTAAATAGAAATTGTATGATTCACTTGCTATGGTCAGGTTGTGATAAGCCCAGGTACAGAGAGGACCCTTATCCAAACACCTGTGCAATTCTACAAATAACCTTTCATTCTTTCTACTCAAAACTCCTTTCAAATGCATAAATCTCACTAAGACCGCAGCTCCAAATTTTATTCTAGATTTTCTTATTCTTTCAAACAGAAGAGATACAGAAATGAGACAGAATAGGGAAAGATAAGCTCAAATGCAAATAATCTGTCCAAGAAAATTGTGAGAATACACAGAAAATGATCAGACCAAAACAGTTATGTATCGCACTGAAAAGCACAGAAAGGAACTGCCAGAGGAGATGAGACTCTGAATCTTACAAAGTTTCTTTACCAGAAAAACAATATTGTTTAGCTTTTATTCACCCCAAGTTTTAGAGTTGAGACTTGATAAGAATCTTTGAAAAAGCCAAGGACCCACAATTGTCTAGACAGGAAGTGATTAAAATACAAGCAAACATTCCAACCGAGCCATAGACAAGGTAAAGATACAATTAGGTCTGTTCTGGAAGTGGTAAGGGAAGAGCTAACTACAGGAGAGAAAGAGAGGCCGAAGGAATGGCTTCAGGGCCAAACACAGGGAAAATCAGTGTAGCCTGACTCTCGCAGACCAGATAATGAATGCATACGTGCTTGTGTGTGATGCACGTATAACTGAAATCTCTGCACTCTGAGATAGGTGTGATCCCATTTGGACACAAGAAAGACTCCGAGGGGTAAAATAACAATGCAAGACCAAACTGGAAGTGGAAAAATTCTTTCCACTCCAGCACCATGTTAATCAAGGGAGCTCCACAAAGGCTTATCTCCACGTGGGCGACTGGAGAACTATGGAAAATGCAGCAGGAATATCACTCCTACCAAACCAAACAGTGCTATTCACATGCATGCCCAGGAATATATAATACCAGCAATGCAAAAGAATAATGGTAAACTAAAACTGTTTGAGGTACTGAACTCTTGAGACATCTTGAACCTATAAAAGAAAAATTATAGACAAGAACATGGAAGTAGTTTTGATTTGAATTGTTAGAATAAATAAACATGAATGACTAAGTAGGAAAATTCTCACATAAAAAGGGAGGACAGAAAGCCTAAACCTCTTGCCAGGAAACAGATTTAGTGGTGTCAAGGGCAAACAGAAGTTACATTTTACAAAAAAAAAAAGATTTCTAGAATCAAGGTTGAGAAGATCCAGGAAGAAAGTTGGAGTAACTGCCGTAGGGCTGAGACTCTGCGTTTTCTAAATGGTGAAGTGTGCGGCTCTCCTATCCTGACTTCCCAAGATGGGGCCACTATTACAGTCCTCATGGGAACGTGGGCCTTCCTTTGTGGCAACCACAAGAGTTGCAGTTTTATATTTACTTGCATAATTCTTTGATTGATGCCTGCACCTCATCAGACTGAGAACTCCTTTGCATGGGGGCAGGGGAGAGAACATGTCATTTTGCTCACTGTTGTAGCCCAGTACACAGTAGAGTATCTCAGTATTTCATGGTTAATGAATAAACACAATTCTCACAGGGGCGTACAAATTATAGGGGTGGTCCTCTGTAAGAAAATTCAATCATGTGATAGATACATTAAATTCTTTCATTTTATATTTTATTACAATGGAATCAATAAATGAGGAGGTTATGGTGATTTAAAAAATTGGAAGCAATGGAAGACAAGTTGAGGAAACCTCCCAGAAAGCAGGAGAAAAAAGCAGAGATGGGAAATAAAAGAAAAAGATGAGCAACATAGAGGATCAATCCAGGGAATCCAACGGCTGAGCAACAGGCATTTCAGAAAGACCAAAGAAAGGAAACGGAGGAGAGGAAATTATTGAAAAGTAAAATTCATTCATTCAGAACATATTTATGGAGCCGAGTGCTCACTATGTGTTAGGTGCTGTTCTAGGAACTGGGGATTCAGCTGTGAACCAAAGTTGCCGAGCATGTGCAGTTTGAGTCGGTTGGGAGATGCAGACGAGAAAGTGGAACATCTCACCACACACCCCATCAGGGGTGACAGTGACACAAGCGAGTGAGCAAGAAGGAGGAAGCTATGGAAGCAGAGCTGTCTCATGACAGCCAGGTGCACAAGGGCTAGAGCATCGTCATGAGACTGGGCAGTGGCTCCAAGATGGATGCACGTGGGGGGATGTCCAAAGACATAATGTGTAACACTGTCCTGGAGGACTTTGAAGTTTAAGGAGACAATAAAGACAATAAAGCCTAGATTTAAAAAAAAGAAGAAATGTTCAAAAAGATAAATTATAGACTACTATTTAACCCTTTAGTGAATAGTATTTTCATTGTCATGATAATATAAACAATGTGTTGGTTTTCAACCCTTACAAATAAGAAGAGAAGCTCAGGAGACAGATTTAATTTTGCTTACAGAGCAGAATGTAAATCTTCAATCTTGACAACATGAAAGTAACATTACAGATGACAGATTTTAAGAGGTAGAAGGTAGAAGGAATGTTGAAGAGAAAGTTACAAGTATTAATATCCTTTTCTTACGAAAATGAGGTCAAGAGATGATGTCTCATTGACAAATCAAAAAAGAATGGTGAAAGCACATCACATAGTTACAAACAACAGAACTAAAAAGATTGATATTATAAAACTGGAGAGAGTATTAATTAGATCCAGTCTATCTTGTGTCTATGACCATAAATTACTAAATCATGAGATAACAATCTGAACTCCATCAATTGAGTGATACAAAGATACCTATTGAGAAGAAACAGCTAGAAAAGGTACAGTTGTCTCAAAGGTGAAAAAAGGCAGGACAGGAAACAGTAGCTTTTTCATTATCATATTCTATTGTTTCTTTACATCATTTGCTTGAATTATTTTGACCAAAATTTCAAAATTTTTACAAAATTCCTTTGACACAAATGCAATTTACATGCCCTCCCACCCCGCTGCCCACTTCCCTGCAGAAAATCCTCTAAGGACAAAAGGCCACCGCTCATATTCATTTCAGATTAATCTCTGGGACAAGTCCTTCATGTTTTAGGGTCAGACATGCTAAATGAAGAAGGGGGTAAGTGTAAAAGTCTAACTCTAGCTTTACAAGAAGTCAGTTAACAGGGACGATCACGTACACTGTGACAGGTTGTGGGAAGATGTGAGTACGAGCATGCTCAGGAATTCCTATGCTCGGAAAGCTGGCTGGAGCCGGCACTTGAGCCCTGACTGCTCCAAGGTGACGCCGGCACCGGCCCTGCCCAGGTGTGCTCAGTGATGACCTTTCTCTCGGAAAAGACTGTTACGGCCATGCTGAAATCCACCCAGCAGAGAGGCTGAATAAATTAGCACCTCACCTCGCCACGCCACCATAATCCAAACCTTCTTCTCCTCGGAATTTCACCATTAGTCGTTTTTTCAAGTCTTTCGGTCGCATCTTCATTATCTGGCGATAAGACTCCTACGTATCAAAATCACAGTTTCAGAGAGAAGAACATTTCTTATTCTTCAAGGCATAAACCGTTTAAAGGTTATTGGTAATGGAGTCCGATTAAAAATAAGCACTCATTCCCATGCGAGTTTTATCTGGTTCCTATTCGGAATGTTTATTTGGCTGCTACACCTAGCATATTCCATCATCTTTCCTCCTACAGTTTCTGCCTCAGAGGCATGCACAGTGCCAGGTAACACTACATTTGCACAAAACACATCTGTCTTCAGTACAATCACTAAGGACTTAAGGATGAATCTCCTCACTAGGGTTGATTTTCTCTCTACACAAAATAATTTCAGTGCACCCTATAAACAGTTCATGTAGTTTAACCAAAATGAAGATGCCATTAGAGTCTGAACATTAAAGAATTCTGAGCCTGTTTTTATATCTCAGTGAAAAATGACACACGATTTCCCACTGAGTCAAAAAGCAAAAAAAGTTTAAGACAAACATAAAGTAGCTTACCCAGAGCATGGAAAACCTGTGGTCAGCCTAATACTCCCTCAGATTCAGCATTTTAAGTGGAAGTAGCTAAATGTCTGTAGATGTTTCAGTGATAATGCACTTAAGAATTTTTTCATCCTTTAAATTTAATGCGATTCAAACTCTAGCATCCCAAGGGGGAATGATCCGGCAGCAAAATGTCAATAATTCAGCTCCTTTCTATCCGTGGCAGCCAGTACAGACTGCTCGGTGGGCAAAACTGGGAACAGCAGCTGATCCGCTCGTCCAGCACTCAGGCCCAACCCTCGCCGGGGGGAAGGTGCGTGGCCCTCCAGGGCTCCCTCCGAGGCCACAGCCCAGCGGGAATCTGTGCTCGCTTCTTGCCCCATCTCACTTGATCATTTCTGCCAACGTCTCCACAACGGAGGGCAGGATTTGGCCCAAACACAGCAGAGGTTTTACGTTATGATCGTGTTTCTTAAGCCAAGGGCCCAGTCTGTTTGGGGACCTGCTCCGGCAGGGGAGCAGCGTAAAGGCAGATCCCTTCCTGGAGCCACCGGCTCCTCCTGCTCCCCCAGGGGATGGCAGGGCAGCCTCCGGCCTCGGGCCACTGTGCTGCTCTGAGGCATGCCACTTGGCAACAGTCCCTGCAAGGAGACAGGAGGGGACTGACTGGTTCGGAGGGAACAGTGCAGGCTGTGGGAACATGTAACCTGTGCGATGTAGGTAAGGGGACTCCCACTATTATTTAGTACCAGTTTCTGTGCGAACCTCTAGGTTCTCGCCTCAGAAGATACCTAGTTTTTAAACTTTTACCATAGGAAGGAATACAGTTCCCTCTCTCTCCCCAGGCTTTGGTCCTGATAAACCCTGCATTTCGCTTAGTAACGAAATCAATACCTGAAATGCCAAACAGAAAGGAGAGCTCACTGAAATGCAGAAATCCCCCACAGAGCAGTGCGTTTAGAGCAGCTCCCTTTAAGCAAAGGAGTGTTCTCAGGAAGCGATGCCTCTGGCTGAATCGCCTCACTTGTTTCTTAACAGGACTGAACGGCCTATGCCTGTGACTGTCAGAGGCACTGAATTCTATACCTCAAATATTTCTTCTCTGGATACTTCGATGCGGCAATGCCCAGCTTGGGGCTGCTGAAGCGACAGTTCATGTCTGAGGACCTTTAGCTTCTGGACTAAATCTCGTTCATATCTCTGGGCAGGAAGCTCCTCGTCTTCCAGAGAGCCTTCGCTGGGCAGGGGCAGCGGCTGGCTGGGCTCCTTGAGTTGGCACTGGTGACTTGAGAAGAAGACAAGCAGAAAGTCATTCCAGAAGCCACTGCTGAGGCAGCTGTGAGCAATGCCCCCACACAGCAGGGACTGGGGACAGTTCATTGCACACAACTTTCAGGTAGAATTTGTTTCCCCGATGACATAAATATGTACCTAGCTGTGGAAAAATGCTGATGGCCACCATTAGCCTAAATATAGGTAAAGGAGATACCCCAATTCCAAGCAACCACTCATCTCATCTAGTCTTACTACAGAGAGAAACTGCTGTCATTTATCGTGCATCTATCACGTACCCACGAGACTGACCGACACGCCATTAGATGCACCTTAACAGAAGGAAATGGAGTCAATGGGGAAAATTAAAAAGGAGGTGACAGCGGAGGGAGGCAACATGCACAAGAGCAAACAGCTCAAGTGACATCTGATGATAACCATTCCTCATTTTTGTCACCAAGAGATTTCTAAGCCCACTCATTAGAAGCCAAATTTCAGTAAAATAAAAGGACTAAGAATAGTAGGTGCCAAAGTGGCATTTGCTCAAGTTTTGCCACTAATGTGACACAGAGCTGTCGGTTACAAGAGCTATGCGGGATATTTTGTTCTGACACAACAAACCTGGAACACCGAGTATGGGATCCAAGGCAATTCCCAGTCCCGAGTTACCTGGGAACCACAGGCACAGGGCAGGGCTCTGGCAGGCAGCAGTGTCCACTACGGCTTGTCCTTCCAGAGCGCGCAGGCACTAGGGAAAAACTGCAATGCTCTACTTCCCAATCTAAGGGCCACGCGTGTCATTAGAGTGCTGCCTGCGGAAGCTTCCTTAATGAGAAGCTACCTAATCCTGTCATCTTGGTGAAATTTATTTAGGCTGCAAGTAAGAAAAGGGTGGCAACAACATATGGCTTCAGTACTCTTCACAGCTAATGTAAGAGTTTAAAATATGCAATTGTCCACCAAATATTTATCATTATTTTGCTCATGCTTATTATTCAACAAACGATACAGCAGATAAGAAAAACATTAGCACAAAAAAACATTCACTTATAAATGAAAGAGGTCAACAAAAAATTTTTTGAGGCTTACTTCATGATGTGGTGTAACCTTGGGTCTGTAAACTGAGTAGTTCGGTTATTATGATCTACAAAATATATTCTCCCAGAAACTGTGCTTCTGACTTCCCAGCCTGGCGGCAGTGGTCCAAGTTCATCACAATTCACACTGTTAAGGTCTCTACCAAAATGGAAGATACAGAGAGGTTTGTCCAGCTTAGTATGGAGGAATAAGACCAAAACTTCAGCAAAGGAGCCACAGGGGTTCCTTATCAAAGTGTCTGAGTCCCCGTTCTACCAACATGGACAGCCACGGTACTACTTACGCCAAACCCCCACTCAGTCCAGGCCTCTCTGCTGCAAACAGCAGCAACATCTGACAGGTAAAAATGGAACTTTCAGAGCTCATAACCATGATAAGAAACAGGGTCTACCTAGGGAACACTAGGTAAGAGGGCCCAAATTGTTGGAAGTATCTTAGTGCTGCCGGAAAACTGTCTGAATCCACGAGTTAAATGCTCAAGGTCAGAAAGGTGTCTTCATTGAAAAGCTCTCAGACAGCACCAAGTTTTGCAAGGCTGAGGGGGATGTATTAAATGCATTCGAAACTTGCCAATTCTAAACAGTTGCACCAGGACGAGCCATTCTCATTTTCAAGTTGGCTTCTGTTAAGCAAGTATTTTACATGCTAAGCTCTTAATGAATTATTTCAATACAACCCCCAGTCAGATGGGAGCAGAGCATTACTGACCAAGCTGCTTTTCTAATTAACACAAAAGCCTGTCATTTCTTACAGTGGGTACTAAAGAGACACTTCATTCATTTGCAGGTAATATTTCCATTCTAATTATAGATAATGAATCATAAATTCAACATAGACTTGGAAAAATCAAAGACAGGAAGCTTATTCTCGGATGAAACAAATTATGAATCAAAAGGAAATGAGCATTACTAAAAATCTTATTAGGTAGTAATGCTATTCTAAAAGAAAAAAAGCAAAGCAAAGCAAAAAAGAAACTTAACTCCGTTACAGGGTGGGGTGGGGGTCTCTCTGACCTGGGTTCGGATGTATGGCCTTGTAGAAGGAATTCGTATAGAAAAGCTTCATCTCCCCCAGGAATGGTCCCCAAGGGACTGAGGCAATAGGGACAGTAAAGTAGAAGAGAGAAAGGGTAATAGAGTCTTTATATTTCCTTTTTAACTTTTTATTATGGAAAATTTTAAGCATATAAAAAACTAGAGAGAGACCATAATGAATTGCCATGTAACCAACTTCAATTAATTATCAACTCCCAGTCAAGCTTGTTTCAAACAGACCCCTGGTTCACCTCCCACCCCAACTTATCTGAAGCGAATCCCAGACACCATATCATGTCATTCATCAGTATTTTCAGTTTAACATGAGAGCAACACATCTTGAAGGGTACTGGCTTTTCAAGTCAACTTCTGGAAGAAGCTCTGATGGTGTGCACTTTAGAAAACCTACCTGGGTATCCTGGGGTCGTGCCACGTGCTGACTCCAGTCTGTGTGTGCAAAAAGTAAACTTGCCCCTGCACTGTGGTTCTTTGTTCTGCACAAGAAATAAGGGGATACGATTAGACAAATCCATTTCCTAGGAGAGTGTGCAACCACTTCTGCTACTATCTGCCATATCCAAGTCACACTCCCGTCATTCTGGTTCTTCTCTCCAAGGTTGTAAATGACCCCTCTCACTCGCACCCCACACCGTCCTTTCCAGAGCGCTACAAATACCCTCCTCTAGCCTACGTGGCATCGTGGTGCTCTTCGGTAGTCATTTGCCTAAAATTTTCATGAGATTTCTAAACTGGGAGATGGGAGCACTTGCTGAAAATTCACGACCAGCAAGATTTATCACCATCTCTTTCCAGTTGTCTTTACACCGTCAAACCATCAAATAGCACAGCCACGCACCCATCAGCGTTTATGGCACGTGCAAGTAACTAAGAAAGGGTTACAAAAATAAAGGTCTCTGAAACAGTGCAGATGACGCTGGCCACGGCAGGGTGAATTCTCTCACCATAGCCTTCAGGCAGTTCCGGTGACTGGTGGCCGTGTGGTCGGTTCTGAGGTGTCTGTAGTGAACCTCGCACCTCAGGATTTCGAAGTCGCTGCGCCTGAAGTCTTTGATCTTGACTTGGGGACTCCACGAACCTGCAGTTCCCTCCGCCAGCGGCAGCACCGGTACTGTCCGTGTAAGGGGCTGGCTCCTCCATGAAGCAGCTGAGCGGCCGGCCAGGCCCCGAGTCTTCATACACGGTTCTGAGAGGGAGAAGGGCAAGTAGGCATGGCAACGCCGGCCCGCGCTTAGGCTCGCAGGGGACGCGGCACACGCTCACTTTGTTTTCCTTCGGCAATTGAGAGTGCTCCAAGGGCTTGGTTTTGTAAAATTCAGCACGTCCCACTCAAAAAGAAAGACAGACTCTTTCAAGAGGAAGAGGCGGCCAAGGGGAGCCATACTTAAAGCTTCACAAGGCCACCCCGGGGTAGAGCAGAATGACTGGAAAAACCAGCTCTGCACTAAAAGGACCTCACGAAATGAGGTTTCATTTTTCTTGATTTAAAATCAAATCCGAATACTCCACTTTCCTTGTTATTTTACTCTATAATGGAACTACTGATTATATAAAATACTACAATGCCTTTAAGTAAGTACTTTTTAAACATCAGTCTTCACCCCTGAGCAATTTTGAAGACAATTTACCTTAACAGGCTATTTTCTGGTATAAGCAAATACTTCTTAAAAAATCTCTTAAACTAAAAATTATAAAATATCTACATAAGATTGAGAGACTAGCACAATGAAGCCCCGGGAACCCACTGCCCGACCACAATGATCAGAGGCTAAGGTGACAGAGAACCCGGCGCGCACCACGTGGTGATACGTACCCTTCATTTTCTAAGAGTCCTCTGCAGTCCACCACCGGGCCCCCAGTGCCTATCCTGTCTCGCGTCTGTAAACTGACTAAAACAGAAGAATGGCTTGCGTTAAAATCCACTGGTGTTTTATACAATGGTAATACAGCGAGCCATTGCAAATTTGTAATTTGTGTACAATGTCCTAAGAAATGAAGAGGCCTATGTACATACACATATATACTCCTACGCCTTCAAGTATGAAGCATCTTACCCATTAGCTACATATACCACCACGTGCCACCTGGAATACTCCTTGTGAACGAGGAGCAGAAAAGGATGCTGTTTCTCATGGTCTCCGTAAAAACAACAATGCAACATTCAGTCTCTCTAAGGTACCCTATTTTTTTTTTATTTCAGCATATTATGGGGGTACAGATGTTTAGGTTACATATGTTGCCCTTGCCCCCCTAAGGTACCCTATTTTTTAAGAAAATTTTGACTTAGGCTTCATGAGGACACAGAGAGCACTTTTGGTATCTGCAAAGTCTAGATGAATCTAAATATTTATTATCTATCTCTACTATGAATAAGACATTTATAAAGTTGTTTTCGGTGTTTTTGTTTTTTCCCCTGGCACATCCCTCCACAAAGAAGAAATCACAAATGGGAAAGCATTAAGTGAGAACTTTCTCATTATGACAGCTTTCAGGATGAATACCCACTGTTCATTTATCTCGGGTTGAGTCTACATAATACCTAAAAGATTTGGAATCATAAAATTATTCCAGTGTGCTTGCAGAGACACTGTTTTCTTTGGTTCCTTGCAATGCTTACAGTTGACATTTGAGTTACTCTAAAATGCTAATAAAAATGGTTGGATAATAGTTATTTAACAGATAAATCATTTCCAATGGATTGCCTCTAACCAACACTTTGTAACATTACCATATTTTAATTTTTCATTCTAAATACTATAATCCTCTGTCTCTACAAGTCATATTACATGAATTCTTTACACATCATCTTTGCTTTTTACATATATGATGGGCTTTCCAGAAGAAACTATTTCCCAATTCTTGCACATGTGGCCACCATTCTTAACATCTGCCCTTAGATAATACAATGACAAATTCATTGTCCATTAACGTGACAATTAAGATTACATTTAAAAGTATAACCCTCAATCTTTCTGTACCCGAGTCATTTTAACTCAACTTTAAATGACTGGATGAAGGGAATTAAATAAAATAATAAAAACCACACAAGACAAAAATTTTTCACTGCTGAAGAGATGGCCCCCGCATGTGGTTTGTTCTCTGAAGTACGTCAGCACTGTCAGTGCCCATGCGTTTTCTCAGCGATGAAGAGTTGAATGTTAAGTTCTGTAAAAGCATCTCTTTATACAGATGAGAAAGTTCTTACCCACTATTTGGCCACGAACTGCATCAGTATCTGAGGGATTTAGTTTGCATAGATCCAAACGCTGGTCTGCAAACAAACAATTCAAAACTTAACCCAAAGAATGTTAACTAGGGAGGAAGGCAGGAATTCTGTATTCAGCATTAAAAAAAAAAAAAAAAAAAAAAGATGCCTCATAAGCTTTCTTCGGTTGCATTAAAAGGTAAAAAGAACGTTTGGGTCTTACATCCGGTATCTTTTAATCTGCTGATGGCGTTGGAGAGCAGCCGCACGCAGCCCAGGAAGCCAGCTCCCTGTTTCTTGTGAATTTTCTTGTGGTTCCACACGCTGATGGTTATAGAATCAGTTTTCCCAACATATCTGGAAAGAACATGCAAACTCGTTTTCAGTTGTATTTCTGAGTTATGATACCTCATTGAGATTTTATCTGATTGACTGAAGAAGCCTTACAAAATAATGTTGGTTCTGTATTCCACATGTAACAGGTATTCAATAAATACACATCTACTCATGTCAAGGGGCTGGGAAAGAGAACTACAACCAGTTATGTAAAGAAAATGTAGATAACCACTTGATAATAATAATCTCATAACAGAGATTTACTATATTTTAATAGTTGCATAGGATAATGACATGATTCCTAACTTCCCAGCAATTAAGCTTTATATAGAATAGTAGTTCGCAACAGGGACTACTTATAAACCCATAGATCCATTCAAAGTACTCGAAAAGAAACTAAGTCATTAAACCCCCCATTCTTAGTGCAGGTCAACCACAGAGAGAGAGGAACTTTCAGGACAAGAATTGACAACCACATTCCAAGCCACATATAGACCTCAGTGTAACTGAGACTGAGTCTTCAAATATAACTACTAAAACCCCCATCCGATACAGTACAATTTGTGTTAATTAAGAAAATAATAATAATCTTCTGGTTACTTTCATGAAAATTTCTTAGCAGGCATATGGAAACACAGGTGCACGTGACAGTAGTTTTCAATGTACAGTCTGTGTTTTGAAGGAATATAAGAAATTGATGGTTTATATACATTCGATCATGCAGAACTGTATTTTCTCTTGCAGAAAGTATATTTGTACTAAAAAGCAAAAATCTTAAAAGTCAACAGAAATATGGAATCATAATAATGCATTTTTTAGGTAAAACTCTCAATAGGGTTTTACTGAAAAACAGTAGCATGTAGGTGATGTGAACCATGGCCTGTTTTCTGCCAAAATGGCCAGGAGACTAAAAAGTTTGAGGATCACAGTTACAGAACCAAACCATAAAAATCTATCAAAATGCCAAACACAAGAACTTCCAAGTACATGAGTTCTGAAATGAGGCAATATATATTCATTTGGTCATCTACTTTTGTTATCAATAAATAGTAATTCCTTTTGTTTTTTCCTTAAATGTTTCTCTTAAAATCTAGACACCTACTTTTCTGCCACTCCCCAAATGGCTTATAGGATGTTCAACTCACAGATCATAGTGCTGGTTCCACTTTGGGTCCAATGTGTTTTTCACAGTGTCGGTTGAGTGGCACTGCCCAGACCCGTCCACGACAATCTTTGCAAAGGGGTCAGGGAGTCCTAGGAGGAGAGAAGATAGCCACACCCAGATGAGACTACAGATCTATCAATGTGACACAGAACACAGTCTTTCAGGCTACGGGGAGCGTCAAGATCATCTAATTTGGTAAAGAAGATTACACTTGGACATTTCATTCTCTAATTTGAGGATAGCTTCAATCAGCAAAATAAGTCATTTCTATTTATCTTTCTAAGAGAGACAACTTAGTATGCCTCCACTCTCAGATTTTAAGGATAGAAAAAAAAA